TTTTTTTTAAACTTAGTGGTAGTGGGTGGCACAACTTTCTAGTTAACATATCGCAACATAACCCCTGGTCCGCTCGAAACGTTTCCCAGGTCTGTTCATTATGAGGACACGTTACACATCTACGAAAATGGCTTAAACTAAAAAAAGAAAATAAGAAAGAAAAAAATCTACCGGTACTAAGAGAAATGAACAAAGCAAAATTTTAAAAAAATACTAATAATAATAAAACTATGAATCAATGAAATAACAAGGAGAAAAAACAATTTAAAAAAATAATTCTCAAACTATTAGTGTTATCACACCCGGCTCCGAAGCCATTTAATATGTACGGAGCCACTCCCGGTGCGAATAGTCATTTGTGACCATAGTACCCGGGTACCTATAGATGCAGCCATATAATATAGATATAATAGCCTATATATAGACAGATATAGATAGATTGATGTATGCATATATAACATGTGTGTGTGTTAACTTTTATTTCTTCTCAATTGTAATTTTTGTGAGATGTAAGTTAAATATAGACTGAACCCTTTTCTGGCAAGATTAGGCCTACATTAGTGTCATTAGAAATAATAAGCTATGAACTGTTGAGATCGGAATCATAATGGAATCCACAGCGGCCATGCTACTTTGGGCTGGATATCTTTCTAACATGGGAATGGGAGATGATTGTATGCCTAAAGAAATATTTTTTAAATAATGTACACACAGTGTAATAGCTAGGGTTGGTGCCATCCCTTTCCACCAAGAAAATACTGCAGTAGGTTGCAAGTGCTCCTCCTCTTTATAAATCTCTCCACAATTACGCATTTTTGGAAGTTTTCTCACAAATTTTATTTCCGGATAATTTAATTTCTAAATAACACTATGTGGAACGCTGTGTGGCGACATTTTCAGGCCACAAAACTGACAATAGCACCCTCCCTCTCAATCCCAAAAACCAAAACTAAGACCATCGGTGAATGCTCCTTCTACTTCCATGCGCCCACGTTCTGGAACCAGCTCCCCTTCCACATCCGTCACTGTGAAACCTCGTCCACTTTCAAAAAGTCCCTTAAAACCCATCTGTTTAGGTCCGCCTATGACCTGTGATGCACCCTCCTTGCCCTGCCTCATTTTCTGTCTCGGGTTGATCCTGTATTTAATATATGCCAAAACGTGCCAAGTGTACTTGTTTTTACAGCCATTTTAATGTTTTAGCTACTGTTTTTATAGTCATTTTTCACATTGTAGTTACTATTCTAGTCTCTCTGGTCTTTCATTTTTATTTTACTTTAGCAGTTTAAATAGTTTACATATTTTTAATAATTGTAAAGCGGTTAGAGCTGTAAGGTAAAAGCTATACAAAAATGCCTAAATAATAATAATAATAATAATTTAAAAAAAAAGTAATACCCAGGTAAGACCACCACCTCCGCTGCCCCCTTCCAACTCCACTCAATTTAAATATGAAGCACAAGGTATACCGGTATATAAAATTCTTCAGCAAACGAATGCATATGTTGGTAATTACTAAAAAGAGTGTAACAATTACATTACTTATCTCAAGTTCTCTTATTACCTAGGTAAAATTAGTTACTGAAGTCATTTCTTTAATGCAGCTCTCAACATTCATTGATTCATTAGTGGTTTTTAGAACTTACTTTTTATAACATACTGAGGGACCAAGCTTTAAAATTAACGTATTTAATCAAACTAAATTAACATTTTGAAAAACCCTTTTTTAATCTTTAACTTTAATCGAGTGTATTTTTTTAAATAACTCTACCTAGCAGCTATTTGGTATCAACGCACTTGAAAAAAAAATTATGGCATCTGCAATTAAAATAAAAACTCAAATAAATTTTGTAATCCGTTTATTGTATACAAAGATCTATACTATTACTACAAGTACATTAAGTCAAACATAGGTTTATTAAATTATTGACATTTTGGTTACCAGGGACGCCCATTTATTATGTAAGATTATACGTTTTCATCCATATATAACTTTTATTTATCATAAAATCCCAAGAACCAATGCTAAAACTTAAGGAAAACCACAATATTTAAATTCATATCATTAAAGAGTTTTAAAACTTTACTTACTTTTTCTAAATAGTTTAGCATATGGTGACAATGTTAATAATTGCCTGATAATGGAGCATGCTGCTTTAGCATTTGGATTACATTAAATTTCCTTTAAAAATGAATTCTTTTCAAAATAAGCACAACAATAAATATTTTAACAATTTGTTTCAGCATTCTGTTTCTTCCTTACACTACAGCAATCAACAAAAACTGCATATTTCTCAACTTCACCTTTATATACACACATTTACTGAATTAAACTTTGATCTTGTACACAATCATTTGTAATTATAATTATATATTTATTTAAATGACCAATAAACTCCTGCCTATACTTTTGATGATAACCGAAAAAAGAAAAATTATAATGAGCAGTACATAAATGAAATTTGTGAAAATGTAAATACAAAATACAGAATTTGAATTCACTAATAATCTTGTTAATCAGCATTAATTGTTATGATTATCTTAAATAACATCCGAAGTGCTACAGTATTTTTAGAATTAATTTTTGAAATTGTTTCAAAATTTAAAAAATATTATTTTCCATGTAAAAGAAATTAACCTTTATATTATATGAACACAAATTTGTGGCGTTTTATATATTCCACACAACTGACTTTTTTTTTTTATTTTAAGCCTGATAATTATATAAATTAGTATTAAAAAATTGACAATTTAAAAAAAAACAAATAAAGACACTTTATTATTACAATAATGACTAAATATTTTACAACCTTAGAAAGATCTGTCAAGAAATATTTCCTGTTTATAATTTACAGCACATCTTGAACATATTTGACATCCCTCAAATCATCATAAACAATACAATAATGATCACAGTAACAGTTTTACAATGACTTGTCAGATGGAAAAAAAAAAGATAACATGATTTAGTTTTTTTTAAATATGGTTTTATCACAAATCAGTGAGTTCTCTGAAATACAGGGTACATGAAATGTCTATGAACAAAATTCATGAAGATTATCAGCACCCAAATTCAATTGTACCAGGTAATTTCTTTTTTAACTATTGGAAATTTTTTTAATGATTTTGAGCCACCATTTCTGGGTGTAATGGACCCCATTACTTATCCCCATTATAAATTTAAGTACAATTTTATTCAGTCTTTTTTTTAAATGAGAGTATTACTATTACAATGGCATGTAAAATGATGGCAATATAAGTGGAGCAAAAAATAAGAGTTCGGGAAATTAATTTTTAAAAACATCATTTGAAGTTATTCACATGTTTCGTTTTCATCAAATTTTATAGACAGATCTACACAGTCCTACAAAAAAAAGACCTCTGAAGTTTAGATTTGCATACTTCATATGTTCTCAAACATTTTCCGTAGATGATATTACATTAAAAGTATGTCATGGAGTAGAGTTAAAGAAATTACTCTGCTAGTTTTGAGTTCTTACAAGGATTATATTTACATGAAATCATACCTGCTTTCACTGTGCTTTACTTATTACAATCTTACACCACACAAAGCTACACAATATTACTCTTCTCTTTTTATGACACAGTTTTTGAATGTTCAAAAAGATATTTGAGCATGTGGAAGTCTGTACGGATTGTAAATCAACTAAAGATGCTAATTGTATATTATAGTATTTGACATAAATATTTTTAAAAATTGTTCTACTTTACATTATTGAGTTTGGGCACTGTGGCCCACCATGATGAACCTGGACAAAATCTGTTTCCAATGTTTGTGACATTTACTTCTAGCTTAGCATCTTTAGACTGACTTACTGAGATAAAGATGGGGAGGTAATGGGAATTATGGAGCACATCTTAGAATATAGGAATGTAACTGTCAATCTTAGCTCTGTGTCTCTGGGCCACACATTCAGCAATCCACACAATGTTTCGGATCTCTTGTTCCTTGAGACGAATATAAGCATAGAAAACTCCAAACTGGAATTGCTGCATGAATGCTTTCTTCATCAGTTTTACCTTGAATAAAGATGCAGATCTTAAAATTAATACATATCAACCACAAAATTAAAAAAAAAATTGTAGCATTTTTTAAAGAGTACCCATAATTTGAAACTGAATTTTTATTTACAACTGTTTGGAAAATAAGAGTTTCGTATGATTCATTCATACATTTTGAACATGAATGTGTTTTTTTTAAAAATGTATGCAATGACCAAATATATGAATGTTTCAAAATCATATTTTTTAAATTAGTTTAAATGGAAAGTGAAGCTAACCGCTATATCACAATATTATTGTAAAACTATTCACTTACTTCATATTCAAAGAACTTGTCTTCCAATGTCTTTTCCCCAGCATTGTTACCAGAATTATCAAATAGCTCTTTGTATTGCTGTAAATATAGTTTAAAAGCAAAAATGAAAAACTAACCAATATTCTGGTGGAAACATTTTTCATCAACTTAGGTTGATTGAAAATTTTTTTAACAAGTTAGTTAAAATTAAAGCTTTCATTCTGCTCACACAAAAACAGTTGATCACATAACGATTATGATAGAAGATGGTTTTAAAACTGGTCTTCGCTGTGATTTAGATTCTTTATCATCCAGTAGTTGAAAATAACAATGAAGGAAACACAGATATCTAATGTAAATTTTAAAAAAACAATCCCAACTCCTTGGCGGCCGAAGAAAAAAAATGTAATTATGATATATTTGTATTATTTTTTACTAATTATCTATTGCAAGCTCGATATTTCAAAACAACTGTGCTCTGACCTCTTACCCAAAGGTCATATAAGTGCATCACTAATCTAAAATGTGTATAACACCAAACACCTTCAAAATCCAAAGCAGTTTTCCTGATAGATTCCTGATAGATTCAGATAATATATCGTAGAAAAAAATAGTATCTTAACACAGCTTACAGGATAGTAATCTGCAACAGCTCTGACTTGATCAAAATCATCACAATCACCCAACAGCTTAAGACCAGTGGGGTAAAGATTTCCACAACGGGGATATAGTTTCATGCGATCTTCCTTGCTAAGCTCAGTGCCAAAAGAGTTTATAGTGATAATAAATGATCTTCGATCTGCATCAAACTGTAAAACAACAGAGTTAAAAATATGAAAACAGTATATATTTTTTAGTTTCCCCATTTTAAAAAATGGCAAACTGTAAAGATAGTGTATTCATTTGTGATATCAATGTTATTACAATCAATTATTCATTGTTTGAATATACAGTGCGGATTATATATGCTACAGGAAAATGTGTTAAATTAAGATCATGATAAATAAATACATGTATTGTACAAATAATATTTCTGAAGCAATGGATTGCATTAAAAAATTACAAGTTCGATATGTTCTTTGCAGGGCGTTGCAGTTTTGGTTGAAACAAATATTCTCTTTGGTTTCTATTTGAAACAAAAAAAATCATATGAAATCTGATGTAATAGAAATAATATCCACTTACAGCAAGTGCTTCACACATGACTTCAGCAGTTGCCCCACCTTGTTTCTTGCAGAAGTTGTAAAAATCTTCCAAGTAAGACTATGCAAAAATAAAATGTTTAATTCATTTGAAAAGCTTTAAAATAGCAGGAACCAAATATCCTATAACAATGCATTCTTTAAGGATTAGCATAATAGCTACTTCCCTAAAAATTGAATATATTTACCAGATACATTTGTGGATGAATACTATAAAATATTTTCAATGAATGCTACTACATTTTTAGGTCAAATATTACATAACCTAAACTTTTCTTTTACAAAAAGAACAACAAAATTTAGAAACACAATTTTAACACCTGGAGTTGTTCTATTTCAATTTAAAAATGTTCTCTCGTTACCTTTGTTTTCACATATTTTTTCTCTTTGCATTACTTTTCACACACGTAATTAATTTTGAAAATAGCTCAAATAACAAATGTATTGGTTACCTTGTAAAGTGTATTTCTGATTATCTCCACATTCATCTCATCCAAATCTTCAGCAGAAATGCAGTCTTTAATATATGGAGCTAAATTTAACAAAAACAACAAATTAATTAGCTATCAAAAAAAAAATATTTAGATTGATAAAATTTGCATTGCTCTTAAAATATATTTGAATTTTCTTAGTGATGATAAAATATTATAGCAAAGAACAAAAACTTTATTTGAATTAAATATTGCTATCACAATAATGTATGACTTTCTATTATTAGCAAGTGTGTTTTCTGATTTCAAATAATATACCAAACAGTCTGTGAATAATGCCTTATACTTCTGCCCAAGCAATCCTCAAATTGTACTTTTTTCCAAACAGCATATTTTACATAAAAAGGGGGAAACCCCTAATCTAGCATGTAAACTAAGCAGGTGGACATATCTTTTGTACAAGTTCAAGGTGTTAATGACATCACCTTCTTACCAAGTGGTGTATCTACAAGAACTGCATTGTACAACATGATGGATGTGTTTGCCAGGTTTATTGCTGCCAGCTGATCAAATGTGCCCAGAGGGTGACACTTGGGAAGCAGTTCATGAATGGGTCGACCATGTAGAGTTCCGGTGATCAGCAGGATAACATTGTCAATCATGTAGCTGTACCTATTTAAGATTGGTTGTTTTTTTTTAAAACTTGATAATTGTTAAAAATGTTTTAAAAGAATGCTAAAATTCAAAAGGTTTTTATTACTTATGATAACTGTCAGCATTGCCACATCTTAAATATATTTGTCAATTTAATAGACTAGTTCTGGAACAAGGAATACACCTTTAAATATTCTAAAATAAACTCTCCTAGTTAAGTACTACTGAGCATTTAATTTAAAATGTAAAGGTATAAAATAATAGATGGTCTCCCAGTCAAGAACAATGTGATTATTTTAAAATTATCATCTTAATCAGTTTATGGAGTAGTAAATCAGTGAGATTCTCAACAATCAAAATACATAATTATCACACTAACAATAAAATAATTCTTGCTGAACTAACTTCATGTAATCAATAAAAGCTGCTAAGGGTTGAAGAGCATGGATACGCATGTGTTCAACTTCAACAACCAATTTCTCCCTCAATTTGTCATCAATTACTGACACAGTCAATGGGCTGGGTTCATTTGCCAAAAAATTTCCATAATCTGTTGACTGCAAATGTAACTTCAAATCTATAAAGTAAAAAAAAACAAAAAAAACAACAAATTATTATCACAAAAATGTAATTAATAAGATGAACATTATGTACAGCTATAATATTTCAGGAGAACTGATGACTGACTTAGTCCATTCAAATTTATATATACTATACGTTTGTGTTTATTATTAGTCACCTCACCAGTTCTTACACCTGCATGCTAATTTGTTTTTAAAATTCAATTAATTTACATTTTACAGGCTTCATTTGTTAAAATTATAACTATGGTTATGGCTCAGTTACTCGTGAAATTACATAAAGTCATACAAGTTATAACAAGTAAAAACAAGATCTTTATGTAGACCTACAACAAATGTTGCAAATTAACCTATAAATAGAATTGGCAACTACTTTTAGTTGAGTATGCTGTTTAATCTAACATTTATACACATATATATTTATAACATTAATTTTGGCCATAAGTATTATTTACAGTGGCCTCATATTTAAACATGGACTTATTACTGATGAATGAATTACATTCATAGCTTTAAATGAAAAATTCTTTATAAGCAATAATAAAGGAAAATTAATTCTCAGTCTCAATAGTTTATTTCAAAGTTTTAACATTTTTACAGATTTACATAACTTTTAAAAGTCTTATAGGATCCACCATTACAGCACTAAGATTTATTGACTAAATATTTGCCACTTTTATCTCTGGCCCTCATTTTTGCAATTAAGGCAGACAGCCTACTTGGCAAGTTCAACAAGGACAAGCTCAAATTTAGTTGTTTCAGATTTTAAGAATTATTTAGGAAGTGACTGGGTGGAGTGAGCTGAGCCCTATATTTTTGGCTTCACCGGGCTCACTTTGTTATTGTGGTGATGTGCATGCCGAATACAAATACAATCAACACTCCCTGTTTCCACCATTTCAACAAAAACATGCAGTGTCATCAGATGACAAATGCAACAGTGTTCTCCTCTCTCGTCTTCTTTGATATTCTGCATATTAAATATCTGAGCAATAGCCAACCATTAAGTTGCTATGCTCTCTCAATTTTGCACTCTGCACTAATTTTTGTTCATTGGCAGTAACATCATAATGATCAATCTACATTTAATAATATGTCAAACAAAAACATCAACATCAATGAAAACTAAACATTCATTGGTTGATATTATTACAAATTTTAATTGAATTGGGGGGATATTCACTCGATCTCTGCACTCTTTAAATTATTGGAATGTTGAATCCATTTAACTCGCTGAATAAAAAGCAAATTTGTAAAAGTGAAAGCATACATTAACATGTATTAATTTCCAAGAGCAAATTTTTATTATTTTAACCGATATATTAATATAACACAATTATTATGAAAAATTACAATCAACAGGTCCCCTGGGTAATATTCACTGCTCTCTAAGCTCCACAATCACTCAACGTCATGGACAAATCAGAACGTATGGTAAGCATATAAGCAAGGGATAGGCCCTATTAAGTATAATTAAATATAGTATAGTATAGCCCTACTTGTTTAGCTAATCTACCACTTCAGTCGGTTATGACTAGGGGTGTGCCGGAGTCCGGTCCGGAATCCGGTTCCGCCAGATTTTGCACTATCCGGTGAAATCCGGTTCCGCCGGATTTACATGTATCCGGAACAACCGGATTTCGGAATTTGCCAGATTTTGTGACTCACCGGATCATAATCTGAAATAAAAGTAATTCTCTTTCCCGAATTCCACACAATCACGATACATTAATCGATTGTTTCGAGCGTTGAGCTTGTTTAATGTTTAATATTCCGTACATACCAGAGGCTAGAGTCAGCACCGCTAATAGTGGCCAATAGTGTAGGGACTTTGATAAGAAAATTTAAACTTTTTGTAAAAATAAACCAATGGCATAGTTGAAAAGATGTAATTTTTTAAAGAATTATAACACCAAAATCATATTTTTAGCTGTTGTAGTTTTAAAGTTATGAATTTTTAAAGTACGACTTGGTTTGTCATTTTTTAACATGGACTGCATCTCCACATTCTGTGATCTCATTCCACCAATCCCGTCATGCGCAATGACTATATAGTTTATATAAGGCAACGCATTCCCTGCCTTATCACTAAAATACTGTTTAGACTTAGTTTAAACTTTCAACTTTGGCACATGAATAATTAATTAAAGCTTTCCCTGACCAATGGTTTAATAGTTTTTGCACACGGCAAACTCTTATGAATGAAACTCTGAGGTAGTACTACGATACAGTTATGCAAGTGGCTGTGAATGGTTGCCAATGACAACGTGTTGCACACGGTAAATTCTGATCATTTATAATATGGATTCTACCGGGTTGTTAAAGCTCAAATTAAAACATTCCAGTTTAAATGTCTTTAAATGCATTCTGAAACACAAGTTATCAATTATTTTGATGTAAATAGTGATAATATATTAATATTTCCTAAGTATCGTCAACTTCCGCCATTAAAAAGGGGGGCGTGGCCAACCCCATGGCGAAATTAGGTTGAGCGAGCTGCATGACCTGCTGCGAACGCGTAGAAACATGGCGTCTCTCGTAAGACACATATCCAAATGGAACGGAACTCAAATATATATCAAAAGTACTAATTTAATAATAGACACACACATCGGAAAATTAAAACTCGGATTTTTTGGCGCCGATTGCGAATTCCCATACACAAAAAGTAGTAGTCCACCTTGACTTACCGAAGTATCTACCAATAGTACCAAAATCCGGGAGAAACCGGAATCCGGATCCGGCGGATTTCGCATAAGAAAATCCGGATCCGGTTGGAAAAAACGGATCCGGCACACCCCTAGTTATGACATTGTACATATTAATGTCAACACAAATATAAATAATCTAAGAGAAAATTTTTTAAATATAAAAATTTAAACAATTTAAATATGAAATAGTTCTCCCCAAGAAAACAATGAAGTTTTTAAAAATATCATCTCCATGAAAATCAACTCAAGCTATTAGTAAGTATTAGGAAGGGAAATGCTAAGCTGTCTTTTTAGTTTATGTGCATTCACATGCTTTCAACATTCTATGTGTGGACAGCAGCATCATTTGGATAGAACAAAATTTTGTTGATGGACCACAATGGAGTGATAGTATATTCTGTGTGTGATCTGGTTTTTGTTGCCATAAGCTGCCCATCTGTCCGATACAATCAGTGGATCTGGAATCTGGAAGAATATATCTTTCTATACGCTACTTATAAAGTGATGGCACGTCAGGCAGGCACTTCAACAAGAAAACAGTACCCACTCTCTCTTTAGATGCCACTCTCTGTTTATATGCCACTGAAAACCCAGTGGCCCTCTCTCCACCCTCCACATCAAACCAAAAAAATATAAAAACTTCAAATAGCACTTCAACAAACACATGAACAACAGGATTTTTTCATAAGTCATAACTGATAGTGATAGTGATGCTCAAGTGGTAGATAACCCTTATTTATGTAAATGTAGGCGAGTATAAGTATAGGCCCAATGAATTAAGGGGTTACTGATTTAATTATGAAGGTCAAACCTCAGCCATAACCTCCAGATCACTCAATATATATTGTCACTATAATTATAATGTTCACTACTTGGTACACATAATTTTTAATTATGTTTTTAGGGGTAGCCTCAAACCTAGTCCAAGTTGATTTATGCCCCAATAACACTTACTAATAACAAAATTAATATGTGTCTTAGCAATAGTTGGCTCATTAAATCTTACCCAAAACTCACACTGTTTTGTATGGTACGTAACGACAAACAACCAGTCAGCTGTCTATAGATTAGACTAGAGCCAGAGCACTATTTAATTTTAAAATCACAACTTTAACTTACCGTCCAAAGTTTCGCACTGAATAAGATTGAGGTAATCTGCTTGTTTTAGTATACCAGATTTAAAACCTCTAAGCAGACCCTCGAGATACCCATGGTCAATGTTGAAAGTGATTTCCTCAAACATTTTGAAAGGCTCTAAATATTTAAAAGATAGCCTTTTTTCTATCTTAAGTAACAGATTTATGGTGCCGGAAGTCACAATGCAAAACAAATCACATGACGATTGCAACGCCTTCACATGATGAAAATGGGAACCTACTCTGAATTTTTTATATACTTTTTGTTGTACTTTTTCTTTTTAAGGCCGAGACTATGTAAACGTACACAAAATTAATTTTTTTTTAATCAATGACCATCATGTTATCATTCTTTTTATTTTCTTGAAATGTTAACTTGATAAAAGTTACGCCGTTGCGCCTACTTTATTACTTGCATTTAACACTAGTTTGTCAAAAACAGTGAAAACGATAGCTTTATATATATATATATATATATATTTGTTTTTAATATAGTAAAAAGTATCTGAATGATAATTAATATTGATGTGAAATAAATCAGTCTCATCCCATTACACTATTATTCGAAATGAAACAATCAATTAATTTTGCACCTTGAGAGGTGACTTCCCCAGGGATCACTTTAGGGATCGGTGAAGTCGGTGTTCCTCTAAATTAAAAATAAATAAATTTTAATTCAATTTACTATTGGAGTAAACTTTTTCGTATGCAGTCTTGACTATTAATTATACCTCCATAACCAAAAACTACATTAAAAAACAATTAAAATTAAATCTACATTTAAAATTTTTAGCTTCAAATCAAGCAGGGGTCGGGAAACTTTTTTTAGCTACTAGAACAAATATATTTGTGAGTTAGCCCCCACCCCCATATGAAAAAGAGAAAAAAAATCACTGCTTTTTATTCATAATGGTTTATTAAATCTATTTATAGACCATCGAAGAAAACAATTATTATAAAGAAATGGAATAATGAATTTAATTTTTTTTAATCCTCGAAAATGTTTAACATAAGTAGGCCTACATCTACCCCCACCCCTTTTTCAAACCGGGTCGAGTTTTTATTTTTTCCATGTAACAAAATAAAATACAGAATCTGTTTAAAAAATACAGTTGACACAATTTTGACCTCACTGTCACCGCTCGTGTTACCATTTTTTAGAATTAGACGTTTTAACAAATTATTGGCCTACTAAATTTTATTTTTTGAACAATTATTGGGGTAAAAGCAAAATTGCAATCGTTTGTTTACAATATTATAAATGAATAGTCGACAATGACAATGTTCTAATAATTTTTTGATGTAAATTGTTAAATTACGAATATAAATTGTGAATTCACGAATTAAATAACATGCAGAATTGACAAAGCCAGGGGAGAGGGTGGAATTCGGCTTCCACCACTCAGGGGAGGGGGTATATCATGACCCACTAGAGTTCTCGTAGGTCGTGGGTATATTAACCCTTGGGGTAATTTGATCCCGTTCGCTGACCCCTTTGCTAGAGTTTCAGGCGCCTGGCAATGTCGTTTATATTGCCGCCCTAATTAAAGTAAACCACAATGCATAAAGAATCCAGATAATAAATTAACTATGCTATTTATTAGATAACGTGGACCTTTATTGCCGTCTTAAGCCCGTAACTTCCACAATTTATTTACTGATTTGGATCAAGACACTTCTTAAAAGTAAGGATTGTCGATTATTGCCTTGTCTATTTTTGCAACCCTTTTATTATTCAATTGTTAACAACATAATTAGCTAACATGAGGGTCCTAAAATATTGGAACGATTTCTAAACAGAGATATTTAAGATAAGATAAGATTCTTTATTGATTCAAATAATTTACTAGACCTTTGAAGATATTATTTTGGAAGGAAAGGCGAATAAAATCATTACCGGTACCGGTAAATTTCTTTCGGAAAATGCGATGTTTTTTTGTTTTTTTTTCCTTTAAATGCTTGTGAGAAATCATTCAAATGACCAACACAACCAAAATCTGCCCTGTCCTATGAACCATGAAAGTGTGGCTTCCATACATTGCTCTATAATTTGAGTTATGTTGTGAAAGCTATTCGAGCGAACTATGTCGAAATTTCAATTTTTCCATTTAGTGTAAGTTACACTGTAAACTCCTGTATGGTTGTCACCCGGTGCGCTCCGCCACCCCCACCCCCACCCTCGTGACACAACTTTTTACAGCATTCTATCCATTCCATATTATTATTTTTTTTTTTCTATTTTTTCCACTGTCCACTATCACCGACTTCAATAAGGTCTTGGGTTTATTCATTCACAAATTTGAGGCTTTCAGATAATGTTGTAAACGCAATAAAATAATAATAACGGACGAACGTATTTTTTCGGAAAATCTTTTAAATCGAAGTTCATCACAGCTATGTAGCTAAAGTACTTGAATTCTTAGAATATGACTATACATTATATCTCTTTTAAGTATACACATATATACCATTTGAAACTAAGTCCTGGCAGCAGTGTGTTATTATAGTGGTGGATAATACAAGCTTAAAGCCAGCAAAAAAAAAAATACAAATACTGATAATTCTAGTTCTTTATTTCAAAACCCTTAGTGGCCATTTTTATGGCACAGACACCATTAAAGTTTTAAGGAAGTTTACGCAAAGTCAGTCAACATTAAATTATTACGGACTGTCCGTAAATTTGCGGATAATCGGCTACATCTATATGTTAAGGAAGGAATTGCTGTTTCATAAAATTTGAATTACAATAATAGTACTTATCAGCAGAAATGACATTGAATATATGTGGTAATGTGCGGGTGGGGGAAAAGTGTGTTGGTGGGGGGGGGGGTACAATTAGGGGAATCCACCCGGGCGGAAATTCATCAGGGTTTGTCACTGATATAAAATCTTGGTCGTTAGGGCGTAGATTGCAGAGTCTAGTGACGCAGATGCGCACCGAGCACTGCCCCTTGCGCACATATTTCTGGAGGTTGGATAACAACAGAGATCCTACCTGCCGGCATTGCAGCCTGGCCCCAGAGACAGTTAGGGCGTAGATTGCAGAGTCTAGTGACGCAGATGCGCACCGAGCACTGCCCCTTGCGCACATATTTCTGGAGGTTGGATAACAACAGAGATCCTACCTGCCGGCATTGCAGCCTGGCCCCAGAGACCTTAGAACATCTGTTGACTGAATGTCCCGCACTAGATCTCCCGGGGGAAGCCAGGGCGGTTGGAGGATCCTTTGTGAGGGAAATGTTGTATGGCTCAGCTCAACAGATGGAGTTGATAGCCAATTTACTAGCCGGGGTCATAAGAGAGTAATCTCAGACCTTCACCAGAATATGTGCGTTAGTTAGTCTACATGTACAGCAAACCATTTGATTAGTGCCTGGGGATTTTAAGACTTTTGTAGACCCTTGGGACATTTAGAATATTTAGAATACTTTCTGGGTGACTGGATGGCCGAATAGTCTAAACTGAGCAAACCTCGAGTTTGTGGTCTGGAGTTCAATTCCAGCCAAAGGCCAGTGAATCAAACAACATATGGGTGGATGAGACTCGTTAAGAGAATGAACTTTGAATTCAAACCCGGTGTTGGATTTAATTTTGATTTTAAATCATGGGCGCAGGCAGGAAATCCCCCCCCCACCCTTTGGATTGATTGGATACAACTTTTTTAGACAAAAAATTATATTAAAAAGTAAAGAGAAAATAAAGAGAAAGTAACTAAGCTGATGTCCTGTCTGTTCGTTCACCATACAAATACTCTACAGTAAATTAAAACTACATTAAAACATTACTAAAAAAATTTTGCCCCCCCCCTACAAAGTTAATCGATTCCCCCCCCCCCCTAGAAAGTTTTCTGCGGGCGCCTATGTAGGTAGGTATGCAGGCCTACAATTAAAACATACCTAAAAAAATTTTCCCCCCCCCCTACAAGGTTAACCGATCCCCCCCCCCCCCTAGAAAGTTTTCTGCGGGCGCCTATGTAGGTAGGTATGCAGGCCTACCGCTAGCACAAAAAACTCTGCAGTGGGCACCCTTCCTACGCCCATATTGGTATGGGACTCTATATTTGGTGTGTCCTGGAAATGAGTACGGCTTGCTTTGTATCCCTTACTCATTTCTTTTATTCACCCTAATTAGTAGTACATAACGTCCTTCAATTTCATTGTGATTCTCTGTCATGCAAGAAAGAGATCGTGACCACTGCTTTTAAAAATACACTTGTTAAATGAAGTTCATTTATGTTGCATTTAATTAGATATTGATTATTTTAAAAATCTATTTTTAGCTTACTTTAAAACAAGGGTCTTGCAGACAGACATACTGATGACAGTTTATCGATAGGCCGACTCTGGAAAACACATTTATATAGGCTAAGTCTATGTAATTGATAAGCTCTCTTTGTGAGCTAAATAATTCACCTAGGAAGGTCGCCTGTGGTTAAGCTCAAGAGTTAGGCAGGGTTTTTGCGGAAGGGTAGTCTTAGGGATCTTTTATCTTGCAGCGGCAAAGTGCGAATAGCTTCGCATCATTAAAGCTATTTATAAAATATCTCTCCATTGGCTGCTACGATCTGTCAAGCGATATATAAGGCGGCGCGCTCTCCTCTTCGGCCTCTCAGAAAATATACCGTGCAGTCGTAGTAGTAGTAGCAGTAGAATAAAAATAGCCATTCATTAGGCTAAAATCTTTATATTTGTTGAAATAAACAATTAATTGTAGGTTAAAATGTCAAAGCCAGGATACAAAGTCGGTACGTGGGTAACAATAATTTACGGGGATGGCCCAAAGCAATGGTAGAGTTAAAAATAAATCGGTCATGCTCCCATGAGTGTGACATTAAACATGCGACGGCGACCTGTCTACGTGGTCAGTGATGAAAAACATTTAACATATTCAATATAATTCATCGAATTTAAATAAGTAGAAGTGGGCCTACTGAATCTAATAACTTACTATGGCCCAGAAAGATCGACAGTGACAAAACAATTTGACTACCGTTATGTCATTGTAATGACGGCTAAGAGTGATAGCGCTATTTGATTTGTTATTTTAAACTGGATTAATCTATAAATACTGCTGTTTTCATAGTCAACGAACAGATAGTTCAGAGTTACTCTTCAGTTGAACCGGCTGTTAAATGATTTAACAAACCAACTTTTACCTTAGCACCACCAATATAATAGGCATTATTGAATTTATTGAGGCCCAAGCCAAATATTTCGTTTCACCCTCTTGGCCTGTGCCGGCCTCTGATTCTGATCAGCTGCTCTCTGCAAATTATAGTCATAGTAATACAAAATAGATCTAGCAGTAATATGCCTATACTATTCAACAATATTAATAAAACATAATAATATAATATTGGGTACCGGTACACAGGACTCGGACTGGTAATAAATTATTAAATAAATTTGAAATAGAATCTGCCTCAAGTTACCATTGACATTATCATAATCATTGTCATTATCATCAGATTCAATTGATTCATCACTTCCTTAAATTTAAATAAAATCCTCATTTACAGAGCGTCACTAGTGTAGTATTATTTCCAAATGAGGCAAATGACTATTCAGTCAGTATTCAGTAATTAAAAATATACCTAATAAATCACTAGGGACTATGACTAAGTCAGGAGTACATCTTTATTGAAAATTATTGTCCTAGGAGTAGGAGGTGATATTCATTTGACATTGATTTGATAAGCCTATTTACCTACGTCTAGCTTTAAACAAAAAAAGTAATGCCTAATCTCAATAATAATAACTAAGTTTTGGCCTACTGAAAACTGAATAGCAACGGCACCAAAAACTTTTTAAAATTTCTTTTTTAAATAGGCAAATCAGACACTAGGTCCCTCTTAATTGCTTGAAAGTCAGTCAGGCATAAAAAAAATATTCCATGTTAGTAGTTAGTGTTAGATCTTTGACTCTTCAATTTTCATTAAGACATTCATTATGGTTGGAGCATAATGACAAAAAGAAATTCTTACTTTACTATAATTATAAGGTTAAATAACTACCGTACAACTATTTATATACATATTCATATATAGTAGTAGCAGTATTATATGGGGGGAGGGCCCTATTATTACTACTATTAGTACTACTATGCCTATAAAATATAATTTATTATTATATGCTACAGGGCCTAATATGGGAACTCAAACCAACTCTTTTTAATGCCTGTTAATAGTTAACAATTTGTGAACTGTTGTGTTGATTTCATCCTGGCTAATTATAATTATAAAAATATACCCGAAATACTTGTATTTGTATCATGATTATGTTTTCATATTTTCTCATCAGCTGATATTAGCCTTGCAGAGTGGGGACGTAAGTGTCTAGAAATTGCTGAGAATGAAATGCCTGGCCTTATGTCAATGAGAAAGAAATATGGAAAGAGTAAACCTCTAGAAGGAGCCAGAATTGCTGGATGTCTCCATATGACTATTCAAACTGGAGTACTTATCGAAACTTTAACAGCTCTTGGCGCTGAGGTAGGTTGACAAAGTAATGCAATGCCTTGATTGAAAATTTTGTGGTTTTCTCAAATGATTTGACCTTGACATGTCAACTATTTTAAACGAAGAAGCAGTAAGTTCCCATCTAATTCTGAAACATTTGATCCTTGCAACAGCTAAGATCAGAATCATGCATATCTGTAAAATCAAAGGCTTTGTCAAAATGTTACACTCTACTTTAAAATTGATCTAAAATCTCTTAAATCCTCCTATTTGAGTAAAGTATTGTACAATGATGCACCAATGATTTAAATGAACTCACAAAAGTCCATGTAAATATGAGTATGCATGGGATGTACAGTTTGAGACATACAATAGAAATTCCCACAACTAATTGATAATTACTACAATTATATAAATTATCCCTAATTCAGCCCAGTGTCACATCAATCAGTGTTCAGTACTGAACTAAACTTCATTTAAATCTGAATATTCTATTTCAGGTTCAATGGTCTAGTTGTAACATTTTCTCCACACAAGATCATGCTGCAGCAGCTATTGCTAAGACTGGAGTTCCAGTCTATGCATGGAAAGGTGAAACTGATGAGGAATACATATGGTGTATTGAACAGGTTTGTTCTTTGCCCATTCAGCGTCATTAACTAAATGTTAATATTCCATTTAATTTCTGACAGGCTTAGTGAAATAACCATTTTTTATTTATCAGAAAAGAAATAATCTAACAGTTATCGGATTTTTTTATTGAACTCATCATTAATGGAACTACTCTTTTCGTCTCTATGCTAGTATAGGTACCCCAATACCCGACACATCTAATAGACACATCTAATATTTTATATGATAATTTAAAGTAATTGAAGTTATTTATTCAGAGACTTCTAGATAGTATATCATAAGGACACATTTTTCTTGCATAAATTATTTGAAACTATTACTCCTGTAGACAATTTATTTCCCTGATGGTCAGCCTCTGAATATGATCTTAGACGATGGAGGAGACCTTACAAACTTAGTACATGAAAAATATCCAAAATTACTTGAAGGTAATTTTTCACATTCTTAAAATTATCTATTATTACTATTATATAAATAATCAATGTAATTTAAAACAAATTTCTATCTAAGTAACTTTTAATATTTTTATGATTAATAAAATTTGTTGCATTTCTTTAGGCATTAGAGGCATCTCTGAGGAAACCACCACAGGTGTCCACAATTTGTACAAAATGTTCAATGCTGGTGTTCTCAAAGTTCCATCAATTAATGTTAATGATTCAGTTACCAAGGTATAAAAAAAAATTATCAGGAAGTATTTACATGGATTAAATTAAAATTAGTACCTAAGATCTACAAAAGTAATTGAGTGTAAAAATTATTTAATATCATGAGAAATCTAAAAAAAAAAAAAAAAAAAAAATTAAAAAAAAAAAAATTATCAGGAAGTATTTAAATGGATTAAATTAAAATTAGTACCTAAAATCTACAAAAATAATTGAGTGTAAAAATTATTTAAAATCATGAGAAAACTAAAAAAAAAAAAAAAAAAAAAATTAAATCCTCTTCAAAATGATCTTGTTGATAAATTGACATATCTATTTTATTTTTTCTATAAAAGTATTAAGCTATATGATGTATGGATAAAAAAATGTATTTTTAAAGCATTTAAAGGTGTTATTAAATTTAATTTGAAAAAGAAAATAAATGTTTTTTTCAGATTTACATCCCAACTTTGTCACATCCAATTTTCATTTTCATTGTCATAATGAACTTTCAGTTAAGGTGAATACTTAATTGTGCTGTAAATTTAATCTTGTCCGTGTATTGTATTCATATTTTTGTGAACCACTAAGTTGTTTACCACATTTGCAGAGTAAATTTGACAACCTGTATGGGTGCCGAGAGTCTCTTGTGGATGGCATTAAACGTGCCACTGATGTCATGTTGGCTGGAAAAGTTGCTTGTGTTGCCGGTTATGGAGATGTTGGTAAAGGCTGTGCCCAGGCTCTGCGAGCATTTGGTGCTAGAGTCATTATTACAGAGATTGATCCTATTAATGCCTTGCAGGCAGCCATGGAAGGATACGAGGTACCTGTCAATCTTAATTTGATATAAGTTTATTTGGATTTTTATTTAAGCATTAAAATAACCATTTGTGGCTAGAACTCTTTGACAAGGAGTCAACTATCCAACTTGAAAGGAAAGCTAAATCTAAAGCTTACTTTTTGCAAAATATAAATATGATGGAAAAAGGAAACTTAGTGCTAAAAAATTTGCGCACCAAGGTATTGTTGTTTACCCACCATATTATTATATAGTTAAATCAACTGGATGCTGATTTGAAAAAAAGAAATATTTGTTAGTAAATACTATGTAACTTTTGAAAATCAACTAATTTATTATTTTTCTTCACTTAGACTCCAATTTTTTACTTTGGTTAGCTAAAAATAGACATGAAAATGAATTTAGTAATACAGCTAATAACTTTGAATGCTAAAAAATTTTAACAAAAATAATTATGTAAATTGTTTTTTCATTTACCGATACTGTATTTAAAGAGGTTTGAGATCATTCCAATTTTATTACTTCTATCTTTGCATCTATATTTAAAAAAAACACTGCTTTGGGAGATCATTTCATAATTTACTATCTATACTCCATTTTTTTAGGTTTCAACAATTGAAGAAGTCTTGAAGGAGGCTCGCATATTTGTAACCAGCACTGGCTGCAAGGGTATTTTGACAAATGAACATTTTGAAAATATGCTCGAGGACACAATTATCTGTAACATTGGACATTTTGACTGTGAAATCGACGTTGCATGGCTGAATGCCAACACTGTTAAGAAAGAACAAATTAAGCCACAGGTATATGTGCTTTTGTGACATTCTCATTCATCTGTTTATTTCATTTATATAACACATTCATAAATTTTCTTCATTTAAATTACCATTTTCCCAGAATATCAAAAGTCATGTAATATAAATAGCGGGAAACGTAATTCAAAAATAAATATAATACTTGGTTTAGGCTCTACTTCCTCTTAACTTTCTATGACAATGAATTTTGGGTGCTGTTTGCTTTTGGACTCATTTTTCTATGTTGTCTAAATTACCTAAACTGTTGCAGGTTGATCGTTACACTATGAAGAGTGGTCGCCACCTCATCCTTCTGGCAGAAGGACGTCTTGTTAACTTGGGCTGTGCCCACGGTCATCCAAGTTTTGTGATGAGCAACTCCTTTACAAATCAAGTTCTTGCTCAGATCGAACTGTGGACCAAGACTTCTGAGTACAAACTTGGTGTGCATATGCTTCCCAAAAAGGTAAATAGTATAGTTTAGCTTTGTCAATATTTTTTTTAACTTACATGAGAGGTATTTTAATGAGGGTGGGTGATAGGAATAGCTATCATTTTTTTATTGAGTGGGAAGTTCATTAGTACCAGTACAGCAGTGTGTAAGATGAAAATGTAATTATTTTGTTTGTACCAAAGTTTCAACCTTTTGGGATTTTCACTCACACACTATATTTATTGTATGAATTTCAAGTCTGTCTTTGGACCTGGCATTGCTAATTTTGTAACTGCAAGAGCTGGTCTAATGTTCCATAAATTTTTTGAATGTAAATGTTTTGAATAAAACTGCATCATTTCCAGAGGTCACATTGATACACCAAGGATCAGCCATACCATGTGTACCTATCTGAAATAGCAATTGTGTACTTAATTATGTAGCATCATCTATACAATGTACACCAATCTGATTTAACAAGGATAAATAAATAGTGTATACCTAGTGTATACATATCGTTAGATTTATAAAGCAAGGATCAATAATAAAATCTTTACTGTTGTGTACCTATCATTTCAGCTTGATGAAGAAGTGGCTGCTGCCCACTTGGAACATTTAGGGGTTAAACTGACTACACTGACCAAAGATCAAGCTGAATACATTGGTGTTCCTCAAAATGGACCCTACAAGCCTGATTATTACAGATATTAAATTAAGTTTCTTATGAAGGAAATAATGTTGATTGATAGAGAACTGAATGTCCACCAAAAAAAAAAAAAAGATTAAGTTTAAACAGAGGTATTACTCATTATTCATGTTATCAGATACGGTAACCAGTTGTTGAAAAGGAAATAATGTTGATTGATAGAGAACTGAATGTCCACCAAAAAAAAAAAAAAAGATTAAGTTTAAACAGAGGTATTACTCATTATTCATGTTATCAGATACGGTAACCAGTTGTTGAATATTTATTTTTTTTTAAATTGAAAATTATTGCAATGCATTGTGCGAGAATGATAATAAATGTAAAAGGTGATTGTGGCAAATGTGTGCATGTATTATGATGTAAATCATTATGTCTTCATGTTTTAACTGCTCATATGCATTTAAAATATGTCTTCAGCATCAATGAATGTTATGTTTATACTTCTGCACTTAACCTCTAATTGTTAGAGAGGTAATTTTGTAAGAACAAAATTACAAATTAAATTCTTTAATATGTAACAATTTCATGTTTGTTACTTTTATTTGTTCTTTTTTGAGTTGTTGTATTGGCACTACAGCAGGGTTTCCCCAGCCTTTTCTCTAAACTGCACCCTTAAGCATCCCTGCTTACCAATTATGAGATTGTTAAATAATACTCACACCCCTACTTATCAATTGTTTGAATGAAACCTCTCATACCCTCTTACCAATTTGTTTGAAATACAATGCACAAACAGCAAAATGCACTTTCAGTCATGGCTTCAGTGGCCTGGTCCAAATCGTTACTGTAACTGTCTAAAAGTTTAAGTCCCGTTTTCCAAAATAAACTATAGTCAGGCCCTCAACTGTATTTGAGAGACGGTGGTAAGTACTGGGTATATTCCGCACAAAAATTTAGTGTTGGCCACCCCAGCTTAAAATTGTTAATTTTATTAAAATTTTATCAAAGATCAAAATACTGATACTGAATGATGCAAACATATTTATTTACAAATTAATTAAAATTACAATACTTTTATCATTAGTCCAGTTTTTCTGTTAGAAACTTCATTATAATTAAATTATATGATCTGATATATATTGCAAGTTGGGAGATTGGGGAAGGGGTAGAATCTGGAGGTGGGGTGACACTATGAGTTCAATGAACCGGGTGACACCAACCCTAGTGATGCAGCTGCATAGTCCTGTAGATAAACATATTCCTAGAAACATACTACATAGTCATAAGGAGTTAGAATCTTTTTAGCCTTATTGTTTGGTTGTTTTTTTTTAGTATCATTAAAAAATTGTGAAGATTTGAAATATTTGTCCATAATTTAAGATTTCATTGCATAGACAACCCTGTTCAGCATGAATTTGATTATTTGAATCGGCCTTGTCTCTGTTTTCACAAAGTATATTTATGTAATGCAACTAATTAAACCTCCATTTATAACTAATATGCGCTTTCATTCAGGTCCCAATAAGCACCCCAAAAAACCCATTAAATTTTAAATAGCAACTACAAACTTTTTGAATTTTAAAAAAAAGAAATCTCTATTTTCCTGCTTTATAACTATTTTTAAAAACCTCTGTGTGAACGTTTTGCTATCATTACAAACCCTTAAATGTAGTTTTTAGTGGGCTCGGTTTACCAGAGCCTAAATGAACTGCAACTTTTAATTACCATGTTAATATGATCAGGGTGTTAAAAAGTTAAATCCATCACAAAGATTCCTGGACGAGTGAATTAAACTTCCCCATTTCTTTCAGGTCAAATGTTTCCCTTTCTCTCCCAACCCTCTCATATAAAATTTTCCATGGTATTTTCGGTTTTTGAAATTATTCTCCAGTGGGTCATGAATTCCTAGGATATAGGAAAATTTCCAAAGGACTTTGAGCACTGATGCCAAGTGCATTTGCTTAAGTAGCACATGGAGCATTGTGAGTAGTAAATGAAGGTCAACGCAAATGTACATTTTCTGATATTGGACAGGTATAGATGATGTACAAACATTTAGCTATTTTAGTTTCACCTGGATACTATGATAAATTCATGTGGTGAAGCTTTTTTTTTTTTTTCATTATAAATCTGCCCTCTTATTCTTCTGAATAAAGTTAACTAAAATGTTTTTGATTTAGGACAGCAAACAATATTTGTTCAGAAAATTCTAGTAAAGAAAAATAAGGTTTAATGATTTCAATTTTTTTTATTTATTTCCAACAGATAAATCACAAAAACTACTCTATGTACAATGCATTTTTGATCTGAGGTTAAGATTTAGGTTTGGATACTATTGGATCGTGTTTAATCAAACTTGGTTCAAGTTTCTTGGGGTTAAATGGGTATGTCTTGGTGATTGGGCCTTGGGCAGCCTTGCGATAACTAATTTCATCTAGTCTTTGTCTTTCCATGACCTGCTGTGAGGCCTTCATGTTACTGTAAGCTGTTGGCACGAATCAAAATGAATATTTCAGCACTTAAAGGTTAAGATTTGGGTGTTATAAAAATCTGCAAGCATCTAAATTAACGTCCTAGTTAAACAAGTTACACATATTTATGTATCGTTTTTTAAGAGTGTTGTAAATAAAACACCAATTTTGCAATACCAATGACATCTTTACTTACAAAGTCATTTTGCTTATGCTTCAAATAAATATCCCTTCCTAATTTTCATTCATTACTCACATTCCTGAAAACCTTCAAGAAATCCTTTTTTTTCTGTTAATACAGTTGGATGAATAACTTTCTCTGGGATATTAAAGTATAGCCGCACTCTTGGAATTTTAAGGAACAGCACTTGGATAAGTGAAAACGCATTTGATGTGAACCAGTAGACTAACATGGCCTGAAATGATATGCAAATAAATTCAACATAAGATTTGAGGAACATTAATCTTAATATTCAAATTTTAAGAATCATGTTTTTAAAAGAATTTTCAGTTTTCATTTTGCCAGATAGTAACTTAAAGATCCTAACTAAAAAATTCAGTTTTAAAAGACTTGCAGTTTTATTTAGGCTAAAGTAAAGACTAAAAATACATACAGTGGGAAAATTCATTATAAAAGGCAGCATGATCAGAGGCATAGCTCTCAGAAACCATTTCATTACATGGGTCTGTGACTGTGCACTCATTCCATCAACACCAGCCTGCAAAATAAATTCTAAAAATAAGAAACATTTTTAAAAAAGTACAGCATTATATTATGTTAAGCTGGCAACAAGGAATACTTAATTCAATAAATTTCATCAATCACTAAGATCATTTAGATTAAATGGGAGGCATTTGCAGCCTGGAAATGGTTCTGGTTGTGTTCGTTGCTGCATCCATATACTGGCATCTGTGCAACCGTAGGGGAAGCGATGTTGCTATTCTAACAGCTCCTAGCAGATGTCAGGGCAGCTTTGAAGCTTTCGACCAACGTCGAGTCCACAGTGGTATTGTCCAGGCGGTTCCAAGCAATTATTGGGCATGGGAAGATTGATTGTTTATACTGAACTGTGTTACACTGAGGCACAGTGAAGCATTTGCTATTGTTTCGGGTTAATTGTTTATGGGGTTGTCAGTCGTGAAATCAGTGTTCAGTGAGCGTTTGGCTCTGATTAATCAACCTGGCTTCTATGGGGTGAGGTATGTGTGTGCTGGGATGGCCGGCACTAACCCCATGACCACTTTAAATAAGAATATTAGGCGGACCTTTTCTGGCCAGTCTTTAAGGGAGGGGATGTCAAATCTTTTTAAGAGGCCAGTGACCAAGCCAGAAGTGGTGGATTGTTGTCACGTGCGATGAAGCGCACTGCGTTACGTTGGATTCGCTCCATCTTGTACACGTCTTGCTTTAGGTGTGGGTCCCAGATGATGTGCCTTGAGGAACTCCTGAGTCTATGGTGGCTTTCCCTGATCAGACGCCGTCTTCCACTACTTGCATGGTATGTTGTGTTAGGAATGTTGAGAGCCAGGAGTGAAGGTTGCCGGTAATGCTGTAGTGGTGGAGCTTGTGTAGAAGAAGTCTATGTGGAACAGTGTCGAAGGCCTTGGAGAAGTCGAGAATTGCCATGTCGACCTGGGTACCTTTGTCATAGGAGGCAAGGAGGTCATTCGTGGTGATGATTAAATGAGTTTCTGTTGAGAATCCAGAGCGGAAACCGTGGCTTAGGGTGGTCAAAAAGTTGTGGTGTTCAAGGTGGTTCATGATGTGGCATCAGATGATGTGTTCTAGAATTTTGCATGGGAAGGAGGTCAGGGATATTGGGCGGTAGTTTGCTGGGTTATGACGGTCACCTTTCTTGTAGGCACTAGTGATATTTGCATCAAGCCAGTCTAGCAGGAGTTTGCCAGAGTCAAGCGACTTTTGTAAAATGTGGGTTATGTTTGGGGCAATGTTGCCAGCCAGGGTCTTCAGGACAATGTTCGGGATGCAGTCAGGTCCGAGCACTTTATTGGGCTTCAGGTTTTTGAGAAGTTTGGCTACTTCTGGTTCAGTTATGCTGAGGGGGCCTATTGTACCAGGTGAAGGTTTTAAGGATGGTATGACTGTGGTGGAAATTTTGGGGAAGACGGATTGAAACTGTCTTAAGAGTTGCCCGTTTTCTAGTAAGGGGGGCTACGCCAATGTCTTGCTTCCTGGATTTAATGTAGCGCCTGAAGGGTTTTGTGCTATTGTTTTCGAGGTCTTCTTAAATGAATCCATTTATGCACTGCCACTCTCCTCTTCTTAGTTCCCTATGACAATGTTTCTGGAACTGGCGGTACAGGGTCCAGTTTTTGGTAGTTTGGGCTTTCTTCAATAGTCTTTTCTTTCTCTTCAGCAGCTTTTTGAGCCGTGTGTTCAGCCATGGTAGATTACATGGATTCTTTGCTATCGCTGATGCGACATTTTGATATATGCTGTTGGATAAGGTATTTTTGAAGGCTGACCATAGTGTATCTACATCCTCTCCCTCGTTATATTTTTTTGTAAGATTTCCTGGGTGTCTGGCACATTATTTGAGCTTTGGAGTAGAAGTCAGCCACCAGTCTGATAGTTCTTCATGTCTTTTTGGATTTGATTTAAGGTATTAAAATAATATTCATCTCCTCATCCTCACACCCTTAATGTAACTATTTTGCAGCAAGTAATCATGATTAATGATGAATTGGACACAAAGAGAATCAAGGGTGTGGTGGAATGGCTCAGCTATTTTGTTATGGCTTAGTTTTCTTTCAAATTTATACACAGATATCTAAATATTGGCTACAGATAACATTCTAGGTTTCATCATTAAAAATCATCTGAAGGTAAGCATTAATGAATGAAGACTGCTGCTCTTAAATGTAAATTTAAAAAAAAAATTAAAGACTGTCTAAATATCTAGATTGCCATTTTAAAATATATTCATGGCCTCATAATGTTGTGTGGTCTTGGCCTCTTTCAATCTATAAAATCTACAGGCAAAAGTTGTACATAATCTAGTGTACTTGACATACAATATAGTATATTGAACTTTATAGATACTAGTGAAATAAACGATTAGGAGCAACAAAATTTAAAACTCATTCTCGGCTCAGGAGCTATATAAAAAGGGGGTAATGGAGCACAATTTGGCTGCAGGTCATGGTAGGCGGACATCTGCCTTAGAGTAGAGGTCTTACAAATAAGTCAGGACCAGCTGTCATGTATTGCTTAGCAAATTTTATTTCATAATCACCATGGCAATTATTTTAGAATGTATTTTTTAAAACACAAACAAAATAGGACTAATGTTCGGCAACACAATATTAATACCTAAGTATTGACACATTTAAAAAAAAATATATTAAAAGTGCTAATGACAACAGAACCTCTATTGTGAGCCAAAATGTCATGGCTGTAAGTAAAGGTAGTCCATAGAAGGGTTCAGCAACTGTGAGATCTGGAAACCACAGACAGCCCCCACTCTTCATACTTTCTACTGGCAAATTGGCCATCCCTCGAAGACCAATGAACACAGATAAAAACACTGGTAACTGGAAGAAAATAATTGATTGATTAAAATAATACAGGGATATCTTTGCAGTTTTATTAATATTCTAATTTTGCTTCCCATCCTTATCAGAGCAACATAAATTAATATCCAAATGAGACCATAAAATTTATTTATAATTTTAATGTTGAGCTTAAAAATATTTTTTTTTTTACATAAAACCTGGACTGAAATTTCCTGAAATTTCCAGTTTCATGATTACAAGATTAAATAAAATTTCCCAGGGATGCAGGCTCTCACAAACATATTTATTTTAAAACTGGGAAATAACAACTTACTTGACACAATGGCATCATCAGTTGACCAAATGGTTTGACATTATTTCTCTGCATATATTCTCCTAATTCACTTCCATAGCGCATGGCTGGTGAAAAAAGCTAACATGAGGCACTATATAACTCACAACTATGTAAAAAAAAAGATATAAAAAAAATACTTTCTATCAAAGACGAGTTTAAACCACTAAAAATGATAAACTAATTAAATTTCTTAATATGACTTACGCCAAAAAAGACTTCAGAAGTATAGATGGATATGAAATGAATTTGAATGCAGAAAAAACTTAATTAAATATGGTAAATTTTGTATTAATTTTTGAAAAATATTTTCTGCATTTTAAGAAATTCTACTTTAGTATTTTTTTTTACTGTTTAGTGGTTTAAACCAGTCTTTGATAGAAGGTCTTTTTAAAAAAAAGTTTTATAAATTCTATGTATTTCTATTTTTTAGTATAAAATTTTAATCTGTATACCTCAACAAAAAAGTATTATTTACTTTTTAAAAAATTCCCACAATCCTACAGTTCTCATATGATTTTTCCTTCCCACCCTTCTTGCGCCATTCACTAACCTGGATACAGATTTGAACAATCTACACTTAATCGGAATGCTCGTGGAAAATTAGGTTCCTTTTACCTAGCTTTGTTCATATAAATTCTTTAAGTTTAGTAGTTACTAAATAAAATTGTTTCATAATTTACTTTTAAAGAATTGAGATTACTTTTTTCAAACTTTTTTTTTTGGAATCATTATAAAAAAAGGGCGGATACACTGAAATTGAACTGCGTACTGTCATAAAAAGTAATGTATATATATTTCTAGGTCCATTTCGGCCAGCTTTAGAAAGGAGCTAAAACTATATTTTTTTTAAATTGTAAAACTACAGGAATACATTTTTTAACCTGGTCTCTTAAAATCGTTGCTCTAGCAGATCTATGTGTACAATCGTAACAGACATTTGTAAGCCAAAATTGTTAGGGTAATCAGGTAGGATTAAATTAAGTTATTACGTAATTTATGAAATGAATGACCAAATTTATAATTTTTTAAAAATAGATTAAGTTCCTCAAATAAATTTAAAGGAAACTATGCGATGGGCTAATAAAAGATTAACAATAATTCTGTATCTAGAAGGGTAATATGGCAGAATTTGAAAATTAGCTTACCTTCTAGCATATTTCCTCTTTGTCTGGCCTGAGAAAACTTCAACTGTAACTTTTGAACAGTTGGCATGTGGTTCATCATGTTTATGGACATTTTTTGAGCTTTAACCACAATAGGAAACATGCAGGTTCTAACAATTAATGTACCTGTAGCAAAAAATGTAACATAATGAATTTTAATTTAAATTGACCACTAATGTAAGATAACTCCCCCACAAACCAAATGCAAAAGGTTAAAATATATTTTTGCACAACTGTGTCAAGCACAAAATTACTTGATCTCTTTTAGAATACAACACTAAAATTTGTTTTCTTTCATGCCTTCAATCTTACCTACAATAATAGATCCCCACCAGGGCAAGCCAATGCCAGCATGCAAAAGCTCAAGCCCATGTTGAACAAACCCTGCTGGAGTTAAGCCCCCTAAGCCTACAGATTGAAGTGTAGGTTCTCCAAGTGCATTTAATGCTTGTGTCAGATCTGATGATGCAGATAAAGCATCAGGAATGGGTGGTACTGGCGGGATATAGTCTGCAGGTGGGTTAATAAAGCTGGAGGAATCTGTAACCTGAAAAGAAAAAACCTTCCAGTAAATTAGGTTAAAAAAAAATCACAATGGAAATGTGGAATTAATGCTTTCTTTGACACCCTAATTTCTTCCCGTTTAAAAAGTTTATCATAATATCCACATAATCAGGTTTTTAAAAAAAGAAAAGAAAACAGAGCAACTAATGGGTTTCTCAAAATTACTATAGACATTTTGACCTGAATGTAAATGAATTCTTTAAAAATATGACTATAGGAGTTACTCACAACTTACTTGGCTAACATTTCCAACTGCACTTGCTGAACTGTTAAATCTAAAAAAAGCAGCTGTAAGTGGTGCTCCCCTGCTCTGATATTTGAATGCCAAATTTCTTACAAGTTGGCAGTTCTGTTTAGAAATATGCCTTCCTGTGTGTAAGGAAACATACACTATTCCAGATTTTAATACCTGCAACATAATAAACTTTCTTTTACAAACTGTGGAAATCTCAGCAGAGCAAATTACTGAATGTATACATTTTCATGAAGTATTCACAGTAAATAAAGTGTTTGATGCAACTTACTCCAGCCTACAGTATATAAATATGATTTTATTTTTATTTATTTATTTAGGCATTTTGATATAGCGCTTACCATACAGCTCTAAGCGCTTTACAATTATTAAAAACATGTAAACTAAGTAAAATAAAAATGAGACACTAGGATAGTAACTACTATACTATAGAAACAATGAAAATGGCTATAAAACGAGGACACTTTGACACGTTTTGGCCTATACAGGATCAACCCGAAACAGAAAATGAGGCAGGGCAAGGAGGGTGCATCACAGGACATAGGCGGACCTAAACAGATGAGTTTTAAGGGACTTTTTGAAAATGGACGAGGTTTCACAATGACGGATATGGAAGGGGAGCTGGTTCCAGAACGTGGGCCCATGGAAGTGGAAGGAGCGTTCACCGATGGTCTTAGTTTTGGTTCTTGGGATTGAGAGGGTTCTACTGTCAATGGAAGAACGTAGTTGTCTTGTGGGGATGTAAGGAAGCAACAGTTCAGAGAGATAGACAGGAAAGTGAGGGTCAGTGAACGAGTTGAAGCAAAGATTGGCAGACTTGTATTTGATGCGAGAGGATATTGGAAGCCAGTGGAGTTGCCGCATGTGTGGTTGAATGTACTGCATGCTGAGTTCTGTGCCTTCTGAAGTTTGTCTATGTGGTGTTGAGGAATGCCTGCGAGAAGAGTGTTACAGTAGTCAAATTTTGAAAGAATGAGTGAAGAGACGAGAGTTTTTGTGGCATCAACGGAGAGGAGGTGTCTAATGGTGCTGATTTTTCTAATTTCATTATATGCTGATCTGCATATATTCGTGACATGTTTGTCCATGGAGAGGGTGTCTGTAAGCGTGACTCCAAGGTTTCTGGCAGAGGGAGAGAGTGTGATGTCAGAGTTGCCAATAGATATAGAAGAAGGAGCGAATGGAGGGAGAGGTTTGTTTTGAGAGTGGATGAGAAGGATTACTGTGGACAGTGGTGCACATGACTGAAGTATGCATTGGTTGAGTGCTTGAGCATGGGTTATCATTCAATGGTTAGATAAAACCAGTAGGATGAATAAAATTGGCCGACCGGATACTCAACAAAATTTATAAATTTACAAATACTCAGGTTCTTTTAGACCAACTTCAGAATAGTGAACATCAATAATATAAAATATAAATATTTATGCAGGGCACATCACTTGGTATTTCAGTAAAAGAACCTTCCCATTGAAATACATTAAATACTTCACTTCTATGATTTAGTACATTTTTGAAGGTGCAAGGCTTACAGATGTATAGTTTAACAGAAATATTTCTGACTGTTAGGTGCCCCTCGTGAATAATACTATGAGTGAACACTTATTATGTCCCGTTAAGATATCATATTAGTCTGATAAGTACTACAAGCTGTAAATGGGTGAAAAGAAGAGGGGGTATTAAACATTGTACAGCTGTTTTGTGTGTTTTTAAAACAGATTTCAACGGCAACGTCAAATCCTATAAAATGTTTTGAAATCTAATGCCCCGCAGAACAGTTGAGAATGCATTCTTTAGTTTTCTTCATTTCTGCACTCACCACGGTTCAGCCATAAGAAATAATTATGTCATAAAATTACATCATACAGCACCAAAACAAAAAACTCAAATTCCCCCTCCCACACAATACTTTTTTTGCCCCTCCCCCCTACATTCAATGAGCTCCCTCCCCCCCCCTTCATTCAATGAGCTCCCTCCCCCCCCTACATTCAATGAGCTCCCTCCCCTCCCCCCCCTGCGAAAAAAACAACAACCATCTTTATATAATTATTATGCCACAGTTAACAAAATGTGTCAAGGGTTTTCACCACTGGCTGTTCAGCAAGAATATATTTTTGTTTGGTTCCAAGAATATATGCCACATTGCCCAGAGTGCTTGTCCTCAGGCAGGGCCATGAGAGTGGGGCGAAGAACAACAGGCGCAAAAAGTCTTTTAGAAATGACCTTATTAAAGAATTAAACTATAAAATCCCCTTTACTTCACAAAATAGTCCTTCTACTGCTCTGCAGGCAGAGGGGTGGGGGGGTGTTTTGCACATTTTTCCACATCTGCTGCAGATATGTGAGAGTGAGTTCATTATGTAAACACAAAGTAACACTATGAACATCACTACTATCATTACCAAATGTGACTGTGTTAATGTTAATATTAAGACTTAAATATTTAGCCAGCCCCCCCCCCCCCATTCTCCTAAATCAACACCACTCCATTCCTCTCTCAAAGAAGTGAGTTCATTATGTAAACACAAAGTAACACTATGAACATCACTACTATCATTACCAAATGTGACTGTGTTAATGTTAATATTAAGACTTAAATATTTAGCCAGCCCCCCCCCCCATTCTCCTAAATCAACACCACTCCATTCCTCTCTCAAAGCAAATGTAATATATTTATAGATGGTCCCCAACCAATCTTATTTCTCAATCCATTCACTGCTGGATGTAGAATTAGAATGTGAATGTAAGTTAAAATTAACAACTGAAAATAAACTTTTTGATTAATTTTGTTTTTAAATTGGAAAAACTATCAGAATGTATATATTCTCAACCCAGCCTCTTCAAATTGTAGTTTTGACAGGTCTAGGCGTACAATCGTAAGAGACATCTCAAAATTGTACATCGTACACATAAATCATAAGAGTAAACAGGTCTGGGATAAAATGTGATGGGTAGAGCCCAATGCAATGCTTTCCTTCCTCTGCTAAAATAGACAATCCGTACCACGAGGCCATTTACATGTTTAAATTCCTGTGTTGGATTCACTCCCCTCTGAGTTGTTGTTACTACAATTAACTTTTCTTTAATAAGACGATGGAATGTTTTAAATTAAAATTTCATTGGTTGGTTAATTATAATATTGTAATCTTTGATCATTTTGGAAAATGGCTACGATATTGACAATATTGTATTTAATTGATTTTTTGACATCTTTTGGATTTTGTTTTCGGTGGAACTTAAAATATTGTGCAAAAGTGTATTCTATAAAACTGTAAGTTAGGTTTTCATTATTTTGTATTGTTTTTGTCTTCATTTTTACATTTTTCTTTACCACAGTGCAACTGTAGCCACACACATGTTTTAGTTGAGGGAAATGAGCATGTACCAGCTGAAATTATGTCTAAAAGGGACCACAGGTCGTTGAGATGTCTTGTCAAATATCTAGATGGATACAATAAAGGGTAATCTTGCAGTTAAGGTGTGTATATTATTTCTGATCAAATTTCATATTATCGTATATTCTTCTAAGGGTGGGGTGTAACTTAACTAGATGTTCCGTTATTTTATAGGGGCCCAAACATTTTTTTTTTCTTATATGGGGTGTATAAATATAAATATAATTCCAAACAAAGGCTCCTGCATGGGCATGGGGTGAATGGAAGAAGAACAAGTACACACACACTCGATTATCCATATTCAAAAACCGGTACTGAAGGGTAATGAACTCATAATTTTAATTTTTCCTAAAACTAGCCAATATACATGCCAATTTTATATAAATTTATTTTGTAAACATGCTTTTAGTTTGAGAAGTTAAGCATCAATAAATAATTTTGGTACAATTTATTATAAATCTAATTTCTTGTTTCGTTTTTTGTGAATATGCTTTCAGTTGAAAAATAGCAATCTGACATGTAGGGTGACTTTAAAAAAAACCAAGAAAATGGAGAGATCGTTTACGTTAAAGGCTATGTACCAATGGGGGCTGTAAAAACCAATAAAAAGAAAAGTTAGGGCTGTTTGAATTTAGTGTTAAACTAATACTATCTGGACTAAATTTTATAAAGAATACACGTAAGTTTACATGCGATAATAAGAAATTTGATCAGAAATAATATATGCACCTGAACTCCAAGATTACTCAATAAAGTAGCTTTGCCTGCGACAAAATTTATTGGCTGAAATTATCTTATAAAATTTGGATGTTTTTTTACAAACTTTTAAACATATTTATTTTTAATTTGTTGAATTTTTCACTTTTTTTTTTATGACAACCTTTCAGGGGTCATGACAACTAAGATGGCGGCCATGTGAAACATCATGGCGAGGATAGTCCAAATTTACCCCTTCCTCACATATTATAAATAATATCATATAAGCCATAGCCTAATTTGAGGTGAACAAAGTCTCTGCAGATTCAGTTTTTAAAAAATTCAAAATATATGCGGTATACAGTAAGTTGACTAGAATGATGGACTTAGACTTAACTTATAGAATATTCGGTAAATGATGAGTAGGATGCCACTATTTTCTCAAAGGGCGCCATCTTGGTTGACACCTATGCTTAACCTGAACCCTAAATCGGTCACTATGCCTAGATACTTCGATGAAACAAGGGAGACTACTACTTTTTTTGTATCGGAAATGGGTGTCGGCGCCGAAAAATCAGAGTTTTAAATTTTCCGATGTGTGTGTCTATTTATTATTAAATTAGTTCTTTCGACATATATTTGAGTTCTGTTTCCGGCCTTATAATTTGGTAGACATCTTGGCCTACATTTCTAGCCAGCTATTTTGCTTTTTTCAATCGACCTTTATTTTGAAAATCTTTGGTATATATAAGACATCTTCGCATTAAAATTTTTTGGTGAAATAATAAGATAAGGTCCTTTTTGATTAAATCTGTATGAGCATTAGATATTGATCTATATCTGTGCCAAGTTTCATTGATGTAGGTCGTGTCTCACGTTTGTTACGCTTGTCACAGTGACCCATATCACCATAAGGTGGCTCAGCCTAATTTCGACATGGCGTGGGCCACGCCCCCTTTTTAATGGCGGAAGTTGCCGATACTTAGGAAATATTTAATTATAACCACTATATACATCAAAATATTTTATATTTTGTGTTTCAGAATGCATTATGAAGACATTTAAACTGGAATGTTTTAATTTGAGCTTTAAAAACCCTTGTAGAGTCCATATTATAAATGATCAGAATTTTCCCTGTGCAACACGTTGTCATTAGCAACCATTCACAGCCACATGCATAACGGCTATATCGTAGTACTGTCTCAGAGTTTCATTCATAAGAGTTTGCCGTGTGCAAAATCTATTAAACCATTGGTCAGGAAAAGCTTTAATTAATTATTCATGTGCCAAAGTTGAAAGTTTAAAATAAGTCGACCCTAAACAGTATTTTAGTGATAGGGAATGCGTTGCCTTATATAAACTGTATAGTCATTGCGCATGCTGCGATCAGTGGAATGAGGTCACAGAATGTGGAGATGCAGTCCATGTTAAAAAATGACAAAATTCATAACTTTAAAACTACAACAGCTAAAAATATGATTTTGGTGTTATAATTCTGTAAAAAATTAGCTCTATTCAACTGTGCCATTGGTTTATTTTTACAAAATGTTTAAATTTTTGGTAAATGTTGAGAGTGGTACCCGGGGTTTCCCAAGCATGGCCGCCATCTTTGTTGACATGATCCGTGAGAAGGTCACGGATCATGTCAACCAAGATGGCGGCCGACCCCAAAAATAAAAAGTAGTGCAAAGACACGTATTGTACAAAAAGGGAACGGTTGGGGAGAATGCGTTTTATCAAAAAACTTACCGAAAGATCGAAAATAAGCAATATTACAAGAAAATTTAATTTTCAAGATAGGAAAACACACAAATATATAGTAATCTGTGAAAAATATTTTAAAGAAAATGTAAAATTTAAAGAAATGGAAGAAAAAATTTTTTCGGAAAAAAAAAAAAAATCAAAGAAAAATTTGGTTTTGTAATTTAAAAAAAATTGTAAAAAACTATTAAATTTTGAAATTTAAGAAAAATGATTTTTAAAAAAATATGTAAAAAACGAGTAAAATTTGAATTTTTTTTTTGAAATTTTCGAAAAAGTAGCAAAAATTTGATGGCGCCAATCCCTAACCTGGATCCTAAACCCTAAACCTATCCCTAAACCTAACCCTAAACCTGACCCTAAACCTAACCCTAAACCTAACCCTGACCCTAACCCTGACCCTAAACCTAACCCTAAACCTAACCCTAAACCTAAAATTCAGAAATGCATGGTAATGGACGATTTTAAAAAGCAACAAAAAACAATGAAATTTTCAAATGATAATTCGTTATTTTACTCACTCTTTACGAAGCAAGATCTCGTAAATGGGGCGGATACACAATTTTTATGACATTTAAAAATTCCCTCATTTGATCTTTATTGCCACACGAGCGTCGCCACATATATTCATATAGATATGAGTCGAACTGCTCCTCCCCATGACAATTTTGGATATTTTGAACTTACCGCTGGACACCGGAGCACAATAAGACGACAGTGACGTAATATTTAATCACACCTTTCTAGATCCGCATGATTTTCAAGTACCATATACGAAAATTAATTTCTCTATTTTTCATCAATATTTCTAACATTCTGACAATTCCACACTCTCTGCATGAATTCCAAAAACATAAAATTTCAGTTTTAAAACCACAAAATTTAACTTTTCTTTGAATCTTCGTTAATTATTCACACGAAATCTTGTTCCAACCGGTTATTAAAATATTCCTTCGCCGCCACCACTTCCGACACTTCATCCAATAAAATTAACAACAATATCAACAAAGGGGAATGACTCCTGCCTTTCCTTGCACAAATTTTAAATAAATATGCAAATGACGTCATGGGTAATAATAACAATATTAGCCAAATAAGCAATATTACAAGAAAATTTAATTTTCAAGATAGGAAAACACACAAATATATAGTAATCTGTGAAAAATATTTTAAAGAAAATGTAAAATTTAAAGAAATGGAAGAAAAAAATTTTTTCGGAAAAAAATAAAAAATCAACGAAAAATTTGGTTTTGTAATTTAAAAAAAATTGTAAAAAACTATTAAATTTTGAAATTTAAGAAAAATGATTTTTTTAAAAAATATGTAAAAAACGAGTAAAATTTGAATTTTTTTTTTTAAATTTTTGAAAAAGTAGCAAAAATTTGATGGCGCAAATCCCTAACCTGGATCCTAAACCCTAAACCTATCCCTAAACCTAACCCTGAACCTAACCCTAACCTAACCCTAAACCTTACCTTACCCTAACCCTAAACCTAACCCTAAACCTAACCTTACCCTAACCCTAACCCTGACCCTAAACTTAACCCTAACCCTAAACCTAACCCTAAACCTAACAATAAACCCTAACCTTAACCCTAAAATTCAGAAATGCATGGTAATGGACGATTTTAAAAAGCAACAAAAAACAATGAAATTTTCAAATGATAATTCATTATTTTACTCACTCTTTACGAAGCAAGATCTCGTAAATGGGGCGGATACACAATTTTTATTTATGACATTTAAAAATTCCCTCATTTGATCTTTATTGCCACACGAGCGTCGCCACATATATTCATATAGATATGAGTCGAACTGCTCCTCCCCATGACAATTTTGGATATTTTGAACTTACCGCTGGACACCGGAGCACAATAAGACGACAGTGACGTAATATTTAATCACACCTTTCTAGATCCGCATGATTTTCAAGTACCATATACGAAAATTAATTTCTCTATTTTTCATCAATATTTCTAACATTCTGACAATTCCACACTCTCTGCATGAATTCCAAAAACATAAAATTTCAGTTTTAAAACCACAAAATTTAACTTTTCTTTGAATCTTCGTTAATTATTCACACGAAATCTTGTTCCAACCGGTTATTAAAATATTCCTTCGCCGCCACCACTTCCGACACTTCATCCAATAAAATTAACAACAATATCAACAAAGGGGAATGACTCCTGCCTTTCCTTGCACAAATTTTAAATAAATATGCAAATGACGTCATGGGTAATAATAACAATATTAGCCAAATTTTTAACCAAAGTATCTACTATGCCTAGCCTAACCTGAACCCTAAATCGATCCCTATGCCTAACCTGAACCCTAAATCGATCCCTATGCCTAGCCTGAACCCTAAATCAATCCCTATGCCTAGCCTGAATGTTGTGGCATCCATAACTACCATTAGCCGAATATTCAAATATTCCTAAATTAAGCGGCAATTAAGCGGGCCTGTGGTGGCTGGGCATCCAAACTAGACTAATTGAGAGTGCCCAAAGCAGCAATATGCCTGCACTCTGGGCCCTTTGGCACTCATGGGTTTCTTCATTCCCTCTTTAGTCATCGTGCCTAGTTCCAATGATTATCATAAAAAAACAAACTGAGTGATGTCCTTGATGAAACACTGAGACTGACTGAGTCTCAGAACTAAACTGCTGGTGCTAGCCATAGCTCTAACTACAGCACTAAATTGGCTAATGAACACAAAGCGCTATTCACAATCTATTCCAATGGTAAAATACATACATTTCTGTTTACTCTACCACTGTCACACAACAACTGCGAAAATAGTGGAACTGATTGATATTTTAGAAAATGTTTGCAGGCAGTCATGTGGGCTGCCATTTTGACATTCAACAAATGCAACATAGGTTGGCCAGTTAAAGTTTTCAACTGTAAGTCAAGTAAATACTTACACTATTTAAAAAAACCTGTTATAAAATTTACAAGAAAATTAAAAATATTTACGATGTTACATTTATTATTATTATTATTATTATTATAAGTGGTTTTATATGGTATCCCAGCCTAGTAAATAATATCAAACAAACAAGCAACAAAGTTGATAATAATGTTTCATTCTTATTCTCCTTAATGTAACGAACTAATAATTATAGTTTTCTCATATTACTGCCACTAACAGTTCATTTTTAAATGCTTAAATGAAATAATAATTTTATAAATATATCTCTAACAATATTTTGGGCATCACACATGATTGGGGGTGATGCACACACAAAAAGTGAAAAATATTTGTTATATTTCTCGATAATATTTATAATGCATCCTGGCAAAAACTTAGTAGAATCAAATAAAGCAATAAATTGTATAAACTATTGTGAATTCAAATCTTCATATAACGATCATGCTACAAGCTGTAGTGGAACAATAACAACAAAACAAAATACATGTAGGCCTACTACTGATTTAACTTACTTAATCGTCTATTATTGCAATGTCTTGGGAAGAGGTTATCAAAGAAGCATTAACTGTTATATTTTCAATTGTATTTACTCTTCTTCTCATTGTTATAGGTAAGTATTTATTTACATTCAACATGGCAATAAATTGAATAATACGATTCGTCATTCGTCGATTACCGATGGACGATTAAAATTTTTATAATTTAACAAGTAAAGTGAATGAATGTGACTCAATCAAATCTATGATACTAATACTATTACTTACTTTTAATATATACTTATTACTATTCACCATTCATCATCGTCAATGATTATCAATGTCGTCAATGAAGTCATTCATTGATTCAATTGACAATTTCTTATTATTTAAAATATTTATTGGGGTGCCCCCCCCACCCAAAATAGCCATATGCCAGCCTCGGGGGGGGGGGTCGCAAAAAAATCTTAAATTAAGTTAAATTATCCCCATTGTAATTGTATATTTTATATAAATTGATTCAATTGACAATTTCTTATTATTTAAAATATTTATTGGGGTGCCCCCCCACCCAAAATAGCCATATGCCAGCCTCGGGGGGGGGGGGTCGCAAAAAAATCTTAAATTAAGTTAAATTATCCCCATTGTAATTGTATATTTTATATAAAGTAATAAAGTGCTGTCCTTGGGTGGACCACCATAAGTTCATAGTCATAAGCTATTGAATATAGGTCAATTCAATAATTAATATAGGTCTATTATATAGGCCTACTATTATACCTCTATTAAATCCTTTTTTTTTCAGCTCCATTATAAATAATTTATCTGATAAAATTACAAGGCCCTTGTCAAGGGCTGATATTTTATTGCAATTTTCATTACAATTACATCTAGTTCAAAATTAAAAATACAGTTGGGTTTTCCAACTAAACAAGAAATTATCAAGAAGCAATGTTTACCATCCATCCCTGTGGCGCAACACCTCCCCTCACTACTATCTTCCACTCAGACCTAAGTAATGATTTTTTTTCCATGCTTGGACTACCAGCTGCTGTAGATCTTTTTCCATATCATCTATTCATCTGCCTTTAAGCCATTTTCCTCTGGAGTTTTGGTGATGTACCCTCTTTACTCCTCTGTCATTTGGCATTCTCTCTAAGTGTCCTGCGTAGCCTACCCTTTTTTATTTCTGCTACTAGCGTGGGATCCAGATATAGACTGTACAATACATGGTTGGTTCGTATTCTCCTTCAATATTCTTACTTTGTTGGGCCGTATATTTTCCTGAGAACTTTTCTCTTCCATGTGTTTAATAGGTTTTCTGACATTTTTGTTAGGATCCAAGTTTATGCAATTTTTATATGGATTCTAAACATAATCAAATGATAAAGTTATAAAAAATTATACTTTTTTTTTACCTTTCATTTTTTATCTGTAGTTTTTGATCCCGCAGGTTGGCATGTATGTTTTGATAATGTCAAGAATACAGCAAAGATTTTTTGGACTGATTATTTAAAAAAAAACTGAATTAATAATGTAGTCTAAAAAATAATTAGCTGAAATAAAAATTATAAAACAACATTAATATTTAGTTTAGATAATTTTTAATATAAGAATTTTTATAAACACAATCTTATCAAGGGATACCTAAAATTCCACTAGCATCTCTTCTTTTGCTCTCCAATGAAGTGTAGGATGAAAAATTAAATTCAGGTGTGTGCCAATAGGGATCCCTGCATTTTGATTTTATGATTTTATCATATTTTCTGGGAAGGCCCCCCCCCCCCCCCTTTTTTTTTTTTTTTTTTTTTCTTTTTTTTGGGGGGGCCCCCCCCCCCCCCCCACTTTTCTATCAAACTGACAAGCCACACAACATATTTAAAAGATTATTTTTATAAATTATAAATCTGTATTCTTTATTGATTTTCAAGGGTTAAGTTGTGCCTAAATTTTTTTTAGCACTAAAGTAGGCCTAGACCTGTTTTTAAACTTAGTCTCACTCTCAGGACTCAGCCCATTACTCAACTCAAATAAAAAGTGTAGAATTTCTCTTTGTCTTTCTCTTCTTTAAAAAAAAAATATTGAATATTGATGAGTGGAAATAGATAATTTAAGTCAGTTATGATAATATAGTATAAATTTTAATGTCAACTCTTTTCAGTGGCAAACTTCATTTTAAAGTTCAGTTGTAGGTTGTACCTTACTAAATCTCACATGACTAGCTTGTTTGCTGTATAATTATATGAATATTAATTATTATGGACATGGCATTTTTTTAAAATGATTTAAAAAAATTTTTTTTTTCAGCATGGATGGTCATGTGGCATTTATTTTTTTCAAAAATAAGATTTGTTAGAGAAATCATATTTCCTGATGGTGATGGAAAACAAAAAGACCCAAGCAAGAAAGAAGAGCTACGGAATAGGAGAGAAAAGAGACAAAGGAAAGATTCCTGATGTGCCAGAATATTTTGATTTACACTACATCATTCTCTTTTGAAAGTTTTAAAATTTGGGGTTTAAATTCTGAAAAACACTGACCATTAAAAAAAATTTAAGAAAACTACATATGTAAAGAATTTCTTAAATTATATTTTAGAAGCAGCTAAAGAAATTGTCAGTAAAAGCCAGTATTTTATTAACTACTTACATTTACCAGAGAAAGAGCAAAGAAATGTCTTGGTGTATTTTTTTGTACTCTAGAAAGGCTTTACAAAACTGAGATAAAAAGTAATTGAACATTATCTCACATTTATTGTGTGATGATATTTTAAAAAAGTCTTTTTCTTTAGATGTTTACAATCCCCATGTCTTTAATTTTTGTATTTTTAGCTGTCCTATTATTCTAGGGTTGGACAAATTCTTAAAAAATTGTTCAAGAGCCATAGTATTTGTTTTAAAATACAGGCTGAAATCACATGAAAAATCAGGTGTCAGGCAAACATTTCAGTTTCCATTCAAGGTAAAAGTGTACAAAATATTTGTTCTCTCCCCATCTTAACCACTCTTTGCTATATTGTGATTATCACCTTTTCTGCAGATTATTGATGCAATTTTGCAGACAGGGACATTGTCCTTGTAATTGTTACTGGTTTAATTAAAATTAAACAATAAAATTTCACAGAACTTAAGAACCATTAAAGATGCAGATGGTGGATTGAGGTAATAGAAAATAAATTTTATATGGGTAAAATATTAAGTGGCAATACTCTTGTGTCAACCTGGGCATGTTATCATGCCCTGCTCATTGATTTAGGATTTTAAAAATAAACATATAGTACTTTTAACCCAAAATAGGTTTAACCTTAAATGTACATGTTTGTAAAATACCATAATTAGAAACTTCTAATTTAAAAGTTCAATATAAATGTGAGCTCCTTAAGAATGTGCACATTGATAAGCATTAGGGAGAAATAGGATGGAATTAAAATTTAACTTTATAAAAAAAAGATGTATCACATACCGGTAACTAGATTTTTTTTCTCATGTAAATTTTTAACTTCAAATTGATAATAATTTAAATTTAGGAATTTATATCTATTTTATCAAATAATTATCCAATTTTTAAAACTATAATAATCAATTTTTTAAATGAATATGAAAGTTATTCCAAGAACCTGCATGTCATTATAGACTTGCAATGAATGTATTTCTGATAATACTGTGACAGTAAATCTGATGTCTACTACAGTTTGAGTTGGATTTCAAATTTTACAAGGTATTTGTGATTGTGGTAACAAAAGTTGTAATTTCATGAATGTGTCTAAAAATTAATATCATGATATTCAGCTTTTTTGTAGGCTTGGAAAATCATTTCATTATTTATATACCATATTGTTCCAAGTATAAGTCCACTCCTGATTATAAAAAGCAGCACCACTAGAGTTAAAAAAAAAAATTAAATATGTAACTTTTTTTTGCAACTTTACATTAGTTTTTGCAAGCTGCACCTCTAGTCTAAATTTAAAGACTTGCATTAGGGAGAAAAATCAGCTTATACTCAGAACAATGAAGGATATACAACCATTACACTGATACATCTGCAAATAAATTAGATTTATTGTTAATTCTCAATATGCAATACAAAATGAAAATTGTTTTTTCCCCCTCCATGTATATTATTGTGATGAATATTTACTGATGTTTTTTAGTAGGAAGGTAATTTTATTATCTTAGTAGATGGGATGCATTGTAAGGAACAAGCTGTTAATCCTAGATTCTTTTTTTTCCCCCCACTTGTGTTAAATCTAAGGAAATTTTTTTATTTACCTGACTAAGTTTGCTGAATGTAGTACAAGCCAAGTTATATTTGTTGCATTATTAACATCCTTTAAACAACAAAGATAAATGCACCATTTACTTTAATATATTTATTTTAAATTCAAATGTATCAAAATTGTGATAAAATTGCATAGAGTATTCTTTTCAGAAACTTTTAAAATTCATTCACCATTGTTATGGGTCCATTGTTCAGCAGCATAGAGTGAAAGTTGGAGATGTGGATAGTTTTATGATAATAATTGAGCTATGTGCTTTAAATAAAATAAAAAAATTTCTTGTTATATCTGAGCTGTTTTTAAATCCCTTATGTTAACTTCGCTTTTGTTTGTGGCTTGCTGACTGGCAAAATTTTCGGACAGCTAATAAACCCACTTCCCATCAAACCTATCGAGCTGAAACTTGGCACATAGACTCGTTTCAGATGAAAACACATTCTATCAAATTTTCAACCCCCAAAACCAGTTTATACTGTATCATGTAATGTAGTGCATATTTTCTGTTTTTCTGAAATGGTGAAATAAATCTGCCGTGTCAAAGTGGATGGGTCTTTAGAATATTAATATAGTTCAGGGGTGTAAAAAAAATATGCGGTTGCAAGACTTTGGGGGGGGAGGGGGGGGAGCACTTATTGGGTTTCTTATAAAGTGCGGCACTTGTGTATGCATGTTTTATCAAATTTTCAGCCCCAACACCCCTTGCTCAAAATTACATTTTTAAAGGATGTATATGAAAAACTTTGTTTTTAGGGGTTGTTTAATTTTGTTTGTTAAATAAATGATGATAAATGTATTATTTATCTCCTAAGATATAACTTAAATCTATTTAATCACCAGAAGTTAATGAATGATAAATATGGTGGTACATCAGTATTTGTTACCATTTGCCTTTGAATGCATCATATTTGGTTATTAACAAAAAATTTGATATTTTTCTCTCCGAAAACATGTGTTCCATTTTCTAAGGTTCCGAAATAAGTTAGTTTAGTAAATTAAATATGAGCTCATGAAAAGATAATGTTCAACTGAGTTCATTAGATAGAAGTCCTTAAATAACACCTATAACTATACTATACATTAAAATAAATGTTAAATATATGAGTATATGTGGTTAACAAGAGCATTTTTATTTGAGCATTATCAAAAATATGCATTCAAAATGAATTATACAAAGTTCTATTTAACATCTGCTTGTAGGCACTGGGTAGTCGCCAACTTATAATAAATTATAATGACTTTCGCAAAAAGAATGTGATAAATACAGCACTGTCTACACATCACTCAAAAAGAAACAGTTTCAGGAGCTTGAAACAGGAATACAGTCCACTTCCACTTTAGATCAAACCTAATTCTGCCATCAAGATTATCCTCTACCAGTTGGTGCCCTGGTGTCTCACCATGTCTTACCCATTTCTTGGCAGTACCTCAGTAAATAGCCACATTCATTTACTGAAGTGAATAGTGCATTCAAATGACTGCTGTGAATCCTGACTTCCTGATGAAGTATTAGTTCAAATTGTTTTTTTCTCTTTGCAGCGAGGCCAAAACTTAATTGGGTTATTTATATATTTAGGAAGACCCTTCAAGCAACATGCTGATTATCAGGTCAATTGACTGAATGATCTGCTATTGCTACACTTGACAGCTGGTCTTGTCCCCCTTCACATGAATTTTCTCCAGTCATCAAATTTTGGGCCTGTCCACTCTGGCTGGCAACAATCATCTGACAGTTATAACTGTCTAAGTCAGACCCAACAAACTGACCAGTCTCATTCCTAGCTGTGAGAATATGACCATTATTGTCAATAGTGATAAGCTGACCAGAGTCAGCCTCCTGGCCTGTAAAATGAGCCTGTCCATCTGTGGCCAAGATCTGACCTTCTGCTGTCAAGAGGTGGTCAGCTGTTGTGATGATGTACTGGTGAGCCTCACCTGGCTCTTCTGATGCAGACAACTGAGACTGGTCATGTGTGCCTGCGGCTACCAGCTGGATGCTTGTGTTGGAGGTGCTCTCACTGGCTGCAGTGCCTGGTGACTGCTGAGGAAAAAAATCAACTTGTTAGTTGATATTTATTTAGTATGCACATTTTTTATTACATATACCGATACATGACAAAGAGTAATTCATAGTTATAGTTGGAATTTTAAAAATTTACAATGATAACTTTGGAAGACACATTTTGTTAATATCAGATTTCTCTGATAGTTATAGTTGGAATTTTAAAAATTTACAATGATAACTATGGAAGACATATTTTGTTAATATCAGATTTCTCCGATTTCTCTTAAAAACATCTGAGGGACCTGCCCCTCAGCGTATGATTATTCCCTTCAGTGTTTGACCATTCCCCTTTGTGTATTATTATTTCCCTAATTGCTGACCATTCATGTGTATGATTATTCCCTTCAATGTATGACCATTCCCCTGTGTATATAATTATTCTCCAGTGTATGACCATTCCAGTGTGTATGTTATTTCCCTCAGTGTTTAACCATTCCCCTCGTGTAAATGATTATTCCCTCAATGCATGATCCTTCCCCTCAGTGTTTGACCCCTGCCCTCTGTATTATATCACCACACTAATGTCAATGAATCTCATGTACCACTGACCATTTCTCCAGGGTTGTAGTAATGTATCACATACTGGTTGCCTGGCAGCATCTCATTTGCATCACTGGTCACTAACATTTGACCATCATGTTGAAAACTTATGTTCAGTGGCTCTCCATCCTCATTGACAACTCTCAACTGACTCTCACCTCCCTGAAACCGACATGATCAAACAGATACTCATATTAGTGAATAGATCAGCTTGCCAAATTTAGATGTTTTCATCCTACCACATCAATAACAAGTACAATATTTTAACATTCCTAAGCAAACAAAAAGATTATTGAACTAAAAAAGTCTCTAAATAAATTTTTTTTTTAAACACTAAAATTTGCTTTCCCCACCTGGGACATGCCAATGAGTTGTTGCAGTAAATTAGCAGAGATTGACATGCTGCCATCTGTGTTCGGTACTTGAAGCTGAAGTTCTCCTTAGTAAATGAAGAAACATTAAGCAAATATTTGTGCTCATTCATCAATATAAACCACGAACAAATTTAAGGTGCAAAAAAAAATTATGACCTTTTAAACTTAAAAATATCTGTATGGACTAGTTTTGGCCATTGATTCCTTTGCTCACCTGCTACGATTTCTTCGTCATCTACTTGGTGAGTTTTACTGACTAGAACTGTTTCAGAGCCTGCTCCACCATTTTCAATCTGAAGCACCTGATGTAAGAATAACACTCTAAATGTCAATACTGTACACTATTTAGTTCTTAGTTATCAATAGAAAGAAGATTGGACTGAAGGAAAGCTTAAATACATTTTTTATAATAGCATGAGGATAATGGAGATTTGCTTTAAAAAAACAATTTTTTTTATCAGCAAAACCCTTTGATAAGAAGACTTTTTCTTCTTCATGGCTCCAAAACCGGTGCAGCACTACTAATGTGACGGGAGAGATAACGCCAGGTGTTCGGCATAAAATAAATCCAAGAGGAGGAAAAGCACAAAGTACAAAGTATATGGAGGAACATAAAACCATGATGCCACCAAAGCTGTCAAACTCTGCATAACAGAAATGTGTCCAATACAGACAGTTAATATGGAGCAGTGCACTGTAATATTACAACCTAAAGCATTACATACCAAAATGAACATTAACGATATTATGTTATTTAGTATATTTTTGGGTGTTTTTATTTGTGGGGTACTGCAGAATTCTCAGAAAGGTCTTAGGTATTCCATGAGTGAAAAAACGTTGCTGAGCTCTGAGAGGACCAAAATAATACAGAGGTTAACGGTTTTTACCATTCAGACAAGTAATATAAAATAAAGATCTAATCACCTCAACTTCTGTCATTTGATCTGAACCAAAATTCTGCATTTGTATATGATGTCTAATCTTGAGGTGGCGCTTCAGGTCTGACATGTTGCCAAAGAGATAGCCACAGCTAAGGCACTTGTATACTCTTTTCTCTGGGGACATGGCTGCAGGATCTACAACTTCATCATGGACAAAAGCCTGGCCCTAAATCAAAGATTTTCAGCCCTGATTGGTGCTTCAAATAATTTTTACATTGAAATGGGGTCTAAAGCATATTTCAAAATCAATAATAATATTAGTGCCTCGGGGGGGGGGGGGGGGGGGGAAAATTCTAATCAAATGGATTTTTAAAATAAATTATTATAGCAATGAGAGCCATTTTAGAATCTCCTAATCATATACTAAGAAATGAACTAATTAATTGAATTTTTAGAATATTTTACCAGCACTCGACTATTCTTTGTTTTCTAAATTGCATAATAAAAATTATTATTTTTAAAAAAAGGTCTGTCTATCATATTTCAGTCCCTTTTTAATTAAATATAGGATAAGTGAGTGAACTGGTTTAGTTTTTTAAGTTATAGTTAATTCTTAACATTTTTTGTAAGCACATTTTTGTTGTTCTGTTGAATGGAATGAAGCACTAAACAGTTGCTTGATTTATCCTTCCCATTCACTACTATGCTGTGCTGTATCATATTTTAAGCACCATATCTCTTTCATTCACAAGTATAATAATGCATTACTCCATATGTGATACTTGACATCACCATATCTCTCTGCACATGATTAGACATTATTCTGATCTACATTGAAGCTGTTAATGGAACATTGCATATAATCACAAATGAACATTATACAAGTTATAATTGAAGTGTCAAAGCATTTCTTAACCTTGGTAAGAATGAAAGTGCTCAAAATGTACTCTAGACTAGACGTCAATGACTATTGACCAAAGTTTTGTAACTCCAAGGTGAGAAAATGTTTGGCAGCTCAGGTTTCTTGTGAGAATTTCAAAACTGTTTTAACATAATATTGCAGATTTTTAATATCCCTTTAGCTAGTAAGCCACCTAATAATAATACCTTATGATTCTTAGCGTAATGAATTTTCATGTAGCCCAAAGTATTGGCAGAAAAATCACAATGCTTGCAGATAAACCGCTTTAAGACGTCATGAATTTCCATATGCCTCTTCAAGTGGCTGCTTTGTGTTGCTTCATAAGGGCATCTAAAAGCGCATTAGAAAAAAATTATTTATTTATTTATGCTTGAATTACCTGGTAATTTTAGTGTTACCACATTATATGATAATGTATTTTGAAATTTTTTGCAAAGCTTACTTTAAATTTTAGAAAAAACTTTAAAAAATAAAATAATTTAAGATAGGGAAAAAAGTTGCTTTGATCAGAACTACAAGCCACACCACCACTTTCAATAACTTTATTCAGAAATCAACTTCATTAATATATGGAAACCACTACTAAATTAAGAAATAACTTCTTCCAAACACTTATTGGCAATAGATAACATAATTAATTAATCTGATACTTCAGCTCAAACCGATAATTAGTTCAAGAAATAGAAACCGTAATAGCAATGCAGCAACCTCAGAATAGAACAATTGCTAACAGTTGCATAAAACTTAACAAATGCCAGTATCAGAATGATAGAAGAACGAAAGCCAAGAAAATATTAGTCAAATTTAGGAGCAAAAAAACTTACTTGTCACATTTGAAGAGTTTGCCTGACTTGTGAGATCTAACATGCCATCTCAGTGCTGTTTTAGACTTGTACTCCTTCCCACATTCAGAACACGCAAATGGCTTTTCTGTTGAGTGCCGTAACATGTGGGCCTGAAAGTGAGAAGTAAGATTCATTACACCATCACCTTTTGTAACATGTGTCTGGCTGGTTCATCTTTGATGGCTGAATCAAATGAAGAAAAATCTGAGAAAACATTAACTGAGGCAGACCTAGATTTTACAGCATGATACTAAATGACCAGAGTGAAAAATAAAACTATCTTTGGTGTATGCAAGTTAAAGCATGTAGTTGGAACAACTGATCAGATGAAAACAAAAAAGTTTGAAAAAAAAACAATATTACAAAAATCGTTTGTCACTGTTAATTGATTTTACCTGGAGGTTATTTTTAGATCGACAGGCGTAGGGACATATAGGACAGGTAAAGGGTTTGATTCCCTCATGTATCCAGATGTGTTTCTGTAGCTCTGAGTTGGCTCGAATAAATACACGGGGACAGTGCGGGCATTTGAAGGACCTGCGACCTGAGGCAAGATATGCAAAATTGGAGATGTTATACATAATGCAGGCCATCTTAAATTTGAAATATATTTCATCAAGAATATTTTGAGCACAAGCAGTTGAAATTTGAAGATGCCTGACAACTCCTTAAATGGAATGCATTTTAAAATTCCTGTACCTCAAACATTGGTATGTGCATTAACTATTTTTTAAAGAATTCTTAAATACAAAAATTTGTTTATATAAGTCAGACTTAAGTTCAAATGATTTTTTTTTTCTAACTACATCTGCAAGGTAAATTGTAAATATAAGTGTACTCAAAAGTGAGTATGTGATTACAGATATAATGATAGAGAATAAATCACAGTTGACACTAAACCTCTGATAAGGACCTACCCATCTTCCCGAGTGGTTTATGCCTATAGCCTGTTAGTTTCTCCAGAGCTTCCCTGTCCATGTCTTTGTGTGTGTTGAGTATATGTGCTCTAAGTTGTTTCATCCTGCATATGAAAATAGAAATTTAAAAAAATTAAATTTGCTAAAAGGAAATTAAGTTTGAGAAAGTTTCATGGCATGACATCATTTGAATTCAGCACACACCCTCTATAACATCACACACCCTCTCTAAAATCAGACACCCTCTCTAATATTACACAACCTTTCAAACATCACACACCCTCTAAAAAAATACACACCCTGTCTAACAAACATCATACACCCTCTCAAACATTAAGTGTCAATTTATCCCCACCCATTTGAGACCAAAAGTTGGCTGCTGTCTTTGAAATAATTCTGCTGCCACCCCCACCCCCCCCCCCCCCCCCTTCTCTCCTCAAACCTTCTTGTAAGGTTCTAACGCTTTCCTAAAACGGCCCCATTCATCCTAGCTGTAAGTTAACCCAAGACAAATCTGAAACCACAACGAATTATATAAGACCAATGTTATAATAATAATAATATGGAAGCCCCATTGATTTGTGACATGCTTTGAGATGGTTCTTTAAGTAATCAAAATTTGATACAAATTTCTTTTATAAATGGTTTAATTTTTCAGTGATTTTAAAATTTGACTCTAAGACGTAGAAGAAAGTAATTTATATGTACAAAAAAATTAAGATCCTCATCATTTATGAAAAATTTTGTAGCTGGAAATTTGATCAAAAGAAATTTCGCGGACGGAAATTTGATCAAAAGAAATTTCGTCAAATTGATCAATGGAAATTTGGGAGAACGGAAATTAGGTCTAATCTTTTTTTCAGTTCACACGTTAAAATTTTGCTTCAAATTTCTTTTTGAACGCATTATTTTGTTTTACTATATAGTATAGTGCAGTAAAAAAGAAATTTGACGAAAATTTTAATGTGTGAACTGAAAAAAAGATTCAACCAAATTTCCATTCTATCAAATTTCCGTCAATAAATTTTCTGTCAAAATTTATTTAGATCAAATTTCTGGTAACTGAAAACTTTAAACATTAACCAAATAATTTCAATCAAGTACATTTCCCTTCAACAAATAAAAAAAGTGCACTAATTGAAAGTAGTGTCAATTACCCATCAAATTTTTCAGGACAGGATGGACAAGCAAGTCCACTAATGCCCAGATGTTTTAGTTGATGGTTCCAAAGTCTTGTGCGGCTGGGGGCCAGGAAGTCACACTCTCTGCACTGAAAAGTAATGTCATGTTCTCTCTCAGTGTGCTTCTTTAACTGGTCCTTTGTGGTGGCCCGGAAGCTACAATGATCACAGGAAAACGGTTTGTCCCCTTTAGGAAAAAAATGAAAATCACAGATTATACAAATAAACATAGAAAAAATATTTGAAAAACAAAAAATGTATGCAAGGTGTTTTAAGAAAGTGAAGAAATATTAAATGGTGTATGAGGATAAGAAATTTGGGGGTATAATAAGATAATGAAGTTATTGTCAAGGAAAAAGATATTGCCTTGAACTTACCAGTGTGCGTACGGAGATGAGGTTCATAGTCAACTTTACTATAAAATAGCCGACCACAGTATTCACATTCCTCAGTACCAAAAGTTTCTCTCATTTTATTGAAAATTTGCATAGACATTTCTCTGTAGCCAAGCCTTTTGATGAGCGCCTTAATCTTCTCTTCCTTAGTGACAGTGACCTTTACATTTGACACAGGGGTATCCTCAACTTCCTCTTTTTCTTTTAATTCATTGTTACCTTATGAATAACAAAGTAAATGGGTGCAGGCATTCATTTATAAAAATGAACTAAGAAAATCTGTTTGAATATATGAATATTGTACATAAATAGGCCAACAGAAACAGGAAAATGAATGCATTTGATGTCAGTCAGGTGTTTAATGCCATTCATATTAATATAACACAATGAATTTTGTAAAAACTTTTTTTCATTTTTCTATTGAAGTTTTGGTGAAACAAAATAGTACCTGTACCAACTAAAGAATGGAGGACTTCAAAGAAAATTTGCTTTTATAGAAATACTCCTAAATGACTCAAAGCAGAGTTTATCTTGAACTTTTAGTTTTTGTTTTGTTTTTTTTTTTACAATTTTTCACCTCTGTATTTTTTAAACCCCAATGCTGCACCAGATGGTCTGCATGGCATGGTTATTTAAATAGGACTCTTACCACAGAATGTCACTGATGGCCACTCCTTGACAAGATTAATCAGGGCACTTACCCCTCTTCTCTTCATCCCCAACTGCATCATTCATGGTTTCCATCTGGCTGCCGTCCATGTCCCCACTTCCCTCATCCATCGGAACACTGTCATTTTCTATTGTGTTCTCCTTGTTGTTGACACCCAATGTGTCATCTCCATCTGAGTCTGAACCTGGGTTTTGTAACATGAGCAGTGACGGGGAGTGAGAGATGGTTTCCAGCTTGATGAGTTGTGACGGTGAGTTGGACTGCTGGTCTGACTTCGACTTGTCCCTGTCAAACCCGATGACACTGTCTTCCCCGTCCCCTGTGGAATGAAATGAGTGGATCATGTCATCTGAAGTTGGGTTGACCTCCAGCTGTGTCACACCATCATCAGACAAAGCCACTTTGACGACCTGAGAGCTGAGAATGCCGTCATTTGTTGGCGCAATAATGAACTGTCTGTACTCTGTGACGTAATCATTGGACTGGTCATCTGTAGCTGTGTTAGGACTGGCGACCTGTGACTGGCCGTTCCCTTCATCTGTTGGCTGTGTGTAAGAGGCAGTTTGTTCAGTTTCTGTGGGTGTGTTTTGATTGTTTTCTCTGAGCTCTTCTGGTAGGTTGACATACTTGCTTCCCTCACTGGTAGTGCCAAGAGGCTCAGGGAGGTAGAGTGAACTGTCAATAAGAACAAAATTATAGAACACAGTAAACAAATCTTCAGATCATTCTAATATATATATATATATATATATATATATATANATATGTATATAGTTTGTGTAGTAGCACTGTAAACTTTTCCCATCCCAACAGTCTTGAATAATTAAACTAAAAATACATTTTTTTAATTAAACTAAAAATACATTTTTTAATTAAACTCAAAATACATTTTTAAATCTATAATGTGTATTATACAATGATTGACCACAAATATCTAGAGATATGATCTCACCGACTGATGCACGCTTCCATCAAATTATCAGCACTAAACAAGCCAGTGTCTCCAATTTCAATATGCATGGTGGTTAAATGTTCTGATAGTCTTGTTGTGCTCAGAAACTTGAGACAAAAATTTTCAACATGTTATTTAAGATGGGTTTTTTTACTTAGGAAAATCATGCATAATTTTTTTATCAAATTATGTGAAATTTGTTATAAATAATTTAATATTAATATATTATATTAATTTGGTGACAATGTTGGTTTGGGACACAAGTTTAGAAAATAATAAAGCTTTGGGTTGTGAATGTTTACCTTTTGGTCACAGACGGCACAACAATAAATGACTCGATGTTTCAAGTAATGCTTGTCTAAATAGACCCGGCGACTTGCCCAATAGTCACACAGTTCACACTGTGACAACAAAAAACAACAGAATAGTACAGAGTAACTCCTTTTTTATTTTTTTCTTCAAACATTTTAAAAATGATGTGACTGTTACTGTGCTGAACTCAATAATTTCTGTGCGAGTGATTGCGTATGAACAATTAAGATAAAAATTGCTAAAAACGCTAATGTACAAAAAAAACCAAGACAAAAGCCAACTTATTCTGAAAATTTCAATTTTAATCAGCCAAATATGCCATATCAGGATAATTATGATAAATATTCCCCAGAGAAAGATTCCATGCAGAAAAATGTTTCCTACCTGCTGCACATTGGGTAGGTCTTTAATATCATGGATAAAGAGGTGCCTGTCTCTGTCCAATCGTTTCTTGAACTTACGATTGCAGATGTGGCACTGATGAATTACTGTGGCCCCTTTCACTCCTCTACCCTTTAAACAAATATTTAAAATACAGTCTGAACATTTATGCAATACTCAACATATTTGAAACAGTAATAAATTTTTTTTAAAAAGATTGTTTATAACTTAAACTGAGCTGAAAAGCACATAACCAACTATCTCACAGAGAGCTGTTTAAGAAATTATTGTTCATGAAAAGTAAGATCTGTCAAAATCAACTGATATGATCATTTATTAAATCTAGTAATAAACTCCACTTCAAAATTGACTAGGAGGGCATTATTCCTTTCCTCTAAGCTCACCTGTAAAAATGTCTGTAGATACTCCTTGCCTTTCTTGTCTGTATGATACTTGCGGATGTGGTTGATGAGGGATTTGAGTGTTGAGTAGTCCTTGTGGCAGAGGATGCACTGAGATCTCCTGTTGTCATGGGTCATCTGATGTTCCACCAGGTGACTCTTGTTGACTGTCTTGAATTCACAGTGATCACAGCGGTAGAACTGTCCAGTGTGTTTTCTCATGTGTGTGTACAGATTACCTGTAGAAATCAATGATGCAATCTTATAATTGTAATTAATTTCACAAATCTCACAGATATTCTTATTGTTTTTATGACATCAAACATGTTTGATACAATGTGTTTAAAATCATTTCTCACATAAGCTGACTCCTTATTTTCAAACTCAGGCATAACTTGACTGTACTTTCCTTTAGTTTCTTTTTGATATATAATTCTTTTGTTGTAGCTTCAAATAGGCCTACATTTTAAATAAAAACAGTTGAAAGAATTATAATTTCTTGAGACTCTGTAAATTAAAATAATATCAGCTGTACAGCTAAAATGCTCGAAGTGACAGATAATGAAGTACAGCTGACCTTTTGAGTTTGTTGCATATTTGCATTTGTTGCACTTGAAGGGCTTAATGTCTGTGTGTGTGATACAGTGCAGTCGGATGTGAGACAGTGATTTGAAGATTTTATCACAGATATTGCACGAGTAGACGGATAATGCAGACATGGTAGGTGTGTTATATACAGTGCCTGTCTTATCATTAAGCTCCTGCTCAATAATGTGAATTTTGAACATGTTGTCTACCTGCACCAGGATGACAAATAAAAATAAAGTTAACACACCACTTTTGTATATCTGCATCACATAAAATTTACACTTTATTCCAAATATAACATTCAATGTATAGACAGAGTAATAATTATTATTTTTGTTTATTACTCAGAGAGGTTTGTGTTAATCCCTAATTATGGCCAAGTTTGAAAAAAGAAAAAAAAATCAATATGACGTAATAATATAATACCTGAGACAAATCAACATCAATACAGGATTCAAATGCTAATTTTTCATCTTCATTTTTAAATATGGGCACATTCTCCATGGCCTCCGCTGCTACTTTCATCTGCTTTGCACCTGAACTCTCTTCATGAACATCGATGTCAAACTAAAATTGAAGTTAGGAATTAGTAAAAAAAATTACTCTTAACCAACTGAGTAAGAAGCACGCTGGCATAGAATTTTAAAAAAAGTAATTGATCTATTCTATTTTAAAACCAGCAGAAGAAAATATATATAACTTCTGCTTAAACTGCCAGCTTTTAAAAATTGTTAAATTTGAAGACCTGGGAATTATTCTCTAATCACAGATGTGCTACAGATATAGATCTTAACAAGTAATTGTTAGAAATGCAGATATCGTTTTCCTGCTTCCTATTCAAATATTTTGCTTGATAAATTTAGATTATACATCTACTAGATATCTATAAAATATTCAGCTACAGATACAACAGAGTCAAATCCAGATACCCTGATATTTAGTGAAACATTTTTGATTACCTTGTAGCTTGATCTTTTTCTTTTCTTTCGTTTTTTGTTTTTCCATGAGCCTTTCTCATGATCTGTGCCTTCCTCTTTATCCATCTGTTTTTCATCTTCTTCATCTTCTTTCTCTAAATCTTGATCTTCATCCATTGGACCGGTAAAGTCATCTCCTTCATCATCCCTGGCTCCGGCATCAAGTTCATGGTCACTCCAATCATCTTCTTCATCTTGATAAAATTAAAAGGATATTAGTATTAGTAATTTAAGTCAGAACAAAATGCTTAAAACATAATTATTTCTTGACATTGATTTGAAGAAATAAAGCATTAAAAGAAATATGTTTTTTTTTTTAAATTATAACTTTTGAAGTGTTTATTTTTTTTATTAGAGAGGATTAAAATCGATAACTTCTTTTCTAAAATGACTTCACTGTTATTATCCCCAAATTATAGCTTGACATTCTTTCCTCTTGTTTCTCCCCAAATTCAAATATAAAGATTAACTGAAAATAAACTAAAATTTGGTAGATAAAAGGCTAAGGGAGAGTTCGGGGGTTGATTACGGAGAGAGTCATGAGACGCTAATGAGTGATTACAAACAAAACTCAAATCTTCACACCCAATGAATTTGAATTAAGAAGTGGGCAAAAATTTTGTGACAAAATCATGTTAGTATAGTTTTGTATAAATATCCTTCTTCTTCTATATATTAAGAGCCCACGATCTATTTATTGGCTCCTATGCATGTAGAGGGGATTTGCAATGTTTCTGTGTCTGGTGTTGATGAGGATATTTCACTGATTGCAAGTGCTACTTTGTGAGGGAGTCATCCTTTACAATATCATTGGCTTACTTTGAATGACCATTGAGACTTTCAATTCTTCATTAACTAATTTGAGCAACAATTCTACATACCAGGTGAATAGATAAAATTGTAAAAACTTTAATTAGATGAAGGTGTCAACAGTATGACATGGTTACCAGAATCAATTTTCACTATTTCTTTCTTTGTGATATCAACATATGAGGAGGAAGCAAGGCACTTGTGTGTGTTGAAGTGACGTTCTTTGGTGAATGTTCTTTTACATTGAGGACAACCAAGCCTGCCATCAGGATCTATAATGAAAATAATAAAATGAAGAGAGATACAAAAAGATTTGTCAAAGAAACAAAAAAAACAACAACACCAAAACAATACTAAATATGAAAAATGATTTAACATAGCTTCAAATAAATATTGTATGATATCACAAATTGTAGCTCAGAGTAATTAATAATTTCCATGAAAAAAAAATCATGATGTAAAAAATCCCCCACTAAAGCAAGCTTACAGCATATTCAAAAATAGAAAATCTCATACTTGTTTCTGGAACTGTTGGTCTCGGAGCTGTGGGTGGCACAGCCTCGATAATTTTACTTTTGCTCTCTCCTGCCTTGGCACGCCCTGGACGTCTTTCTGAGAGTGAGTCAAGAGTAAGAGACTTCAGTTATTCTGCATCATAAATCATGTTTGTCGATGTTAAATATTACTCGCTGAAGACTAATGAAGCTCACTAAGTTTCATAACCTTCACTTAAATATATAACCAGTAATGATGAACAGAACTTTTAGGCTAATGTCAAGGGTATGAGAATTGTCCTTGAGTTGTGTCATGAGTTGTATTATTGTGGCTAAATGGACATCAGATGACAGAAAAAGCATTATAAACAAGTGTGTAAATATAAGGCGTATAATCGAGAGAGTTCGCTAAGACAACATTGCTAGAACTACTCAAAGATTCTCGACAAGAGAAAACAGAATATTTTGTCAGTCAGTATTAAAGTGCAAGTGTTTTAGTCACATTATTGTAAAAGTCTTTAGTACTGGTATTATATTATTGCATGCCAGTGCGTTTGAAGCAAGTATCGAAAAGTTATAAAACAACCATTTCAATGCTAGAAGAGATTTTGTTTAGGAACAGAAAAAAACATACTTTTAGGAGGTGAAGGAATGTCACTGCTCTGGGTTAACTCCAATGTTTGGTCTGATTCTTGATGCAATCCATTGTTTGTAGCTTCTGTTTTCATGCCCATACCTGTAAGAGACCTGCTAAACTAGGTGATTGATAGCTCAATAAAACTAACCTATGGCATAATTAGTTTATAATAGTTTATAACAGACTGTATTATTAATTAATTTCCGCTTGAAAAATACTTTTAATTAATGCACTTTTCTAAAACTGTCTGTTTTTATTTCATACGCCAGAAAATGAGTATCCACAATGTAATCGAAAACACATTTCCATTTTGTTTAGTTTTTTGGATCATTAAAAGAATCTAATCTTATCTTTGATGGGGCATTAATTATTTATACCTACTCCTTTTAGCAACTATCATTATGGCAAGTGCCAAAATAAACAGAATCTAATCCAGATATTCAAAGAAAGAAATATAAATCAAACAAATGGCCTAACATGTTTTACCACAAAACTAAGAATGGCCCCATCAAACCTGGCTTAAATTAACAATCAGCTCACACTACGCCACAGATTGTGTACAGGGGAGACGATGGAATGGAGAGCAGTTCTTTAATTCTTTAAGTTTAATACCTGTTGAGAATGATGAGGTGTGTGGTAGGGTTGTCTCCCATTGAACCATCATCCAAATCGGACCTGGCCAATTCTGATTCCATGTTAACATCATTGAGGAAAGCCAGAGGTGTACCAGCATGCATTTTATTTTCTGTGGGACAGTATGGTAGAAAACATAAATGTAGCCCCAACAAAATAAATTAACCAGAATTTCAGTTAGATGGGAAACAAGAACACACAATTTATATATAAATAATAAATGGGATCAGTTTGTTTTGTTTCTTTTACAATAGGAGTGACATCCAAAACCTCAAACTTTTCTCATCGACTTCCACCAACCTTTTGTTTGGGGATCAGTTGTGATGGGGTATGTGCAAGCCATATGAACACTTAATAGATTTTTTTTAGTGTTCCAGTGTCAATTGTTTGGATCTACCAATTTAGGCTATAAAGTGATTGGGTATGCGGTTTAATTGCTATTAAAAGGCAATATTATGATGGTGGAGAATAGATAACGTGTTGTTGCTAAGAGTAGGGTGTGGCAGAAGGGGATGGATGCCTCCAAGGACCAATTTGAAAGAGTGCAAACATGGGCTTTGATGGTATTCTATTGATGAATATAATGGGTTTGAAAGTTGGTTATTAGGATGTGGGGGGTGCTTAAAATGAATCTTGTCCCCGGGGGCAAAACTAGCTTCACCTCTCCATAGATGAGTCTCAAAGAGTGGGATTAGATAGATAAACTTTGGGTGGATTTAAATTATGACTCATGTTTTAAAATAATAATAATAATAATAAGGGGTCTTATATAGCGCAGTACGCCAGCCCTAGCTGGGCTCACCGCGATGTACATAAAAATTTTATCAAAAGAGACATAATCATGACATTAAAATAAAATACATTTATGAAATAAAGAACAGCAAAAAAAAAAAAATGTATATTCACCCACCCCAACAAATAACTTTTACAAGGCAAACCATGGACGGCAGCCAGCAAGATCGTTTATCGGTCAGAGGAGGGGAATCAGTCAGGGTAGTATAATTTAAAAAGATGTGTTTTGAGTGCAGTTTTGAAGGCCTGAGTGGTTGGTATATTGCGTATGTGTAATGGCAAAGAATTCCATTGTTTGGGGGCGCAGAAAGAGAAAGATTGTTCACCATATGTTTTAATGTGTGTCTTGGGAACGGACAGAATACGCGTGTCTGCAGAGGAGCGAAGCTGTCGAAGGGGTGAATAGACAGAAAGAAGTTCGGTTAGATAGGAAGGGCAGGAATTCAAGAAAAAGTTGTGACAGAGAACAGACAACTTGTAGTCAATGCGTGCCTGTATAGGTAGCCAATGAAGGGAATGGAGTAGTGGAGTGACGTGATCACGTTTTTTTTGCCTTTAAAACTAGCCTAGCATCTGAGTTTTGAACTTTCTGCAGTTTTTCTATGCAGTGTTTTGGTGAACCTGACAGAAGAGAGTTGCAATAGTCAAGACAAGAGAGAACAAGAGCACAGACTAGAGTTTTTGTAGCGCTAACTGTGAGGTAGTGGCGTATGGGGCTGATCTGACGGATAGTGGTGTATGCTGAACGACAAATGTGAGATATGTGTTTATCGAGAGACATGTTGTTAGAAAGAATATAACCAAGATTCCTAGCAGAGGGTGTAAACCGTATGTCGGAGTTACCTACTTGAAATGAGGTAGGAAGAGTTGAGGTAGAGGATGATGTGTGATTGTGAATGTGTGTAGTGTATACCTCTTTCTCTCATGGATTCAGATGTCATACTGGTTATCTCCCCTGACTCATTCAAGTGCACCTGGATTATCTCTGCTCCTGACTGGATTCCCATAGTTTGGTTTTCAGGAACTGCAGGGCCTGATATGCAGTTCTTTTGTTTGTGAAACATGAAATCGTTGAGGTCTGTAAATGTGTCCTGACATGAACCACAGATGAATGTATCCAACGGCATCTTAATGATTATAAAAGGAATTATTTATAATAATAAACAGGCAGAAAATGGATCTTATTCTTGGAGCTGCTATAGTGAGAAGAGAAGAAAAAAAAGAGAAAAATATTTGAATTAATTTAAAGGGCACACATATCAATACATAAATGCTGCACTACATACTGAAGTGATATTGATACCTGGTAAGTCTTTGCATTTAAGAAAATACTTTTGGTTTTGTTGTTACATTAAATTTTTTTTAAAATTATAACTTTAAAAAAAAAAAAGGTGCCTCATCCAAAAGGTCAAAAAGTTTGTTTTTTTTAAATTTGAAAATCAGATGTACTCTTATTCTTGTTTGCATTCTGATACTTAACAGCAAGCATGTTAAATATTTTGCTTATTTTTTATTATTAGGAATTGACAATTTTTATAATAACCTGTCAGTCTTCCTTTCACAGCACAACAAATGAAGTATGCGTGTGATACTTACAAGGAACATCTTTTATCTATTTATTAATTATGAATGTTTTGGTTATTCCCGGTAATCAATTCATTAACGCCGGGGGTTTTTTAATTACCGAAAAAGACTACACGCATTAGGAAGATTAAGATTAAATGTACCGGTATTAATATTTTCTATACAATACTTCACTACTGTGAGACATACTCTGCTATATTAAAAAAAGGAGAAAAAAAAAAAAAACCCCCCCCCCCCCCCCCACCTCTTAATTTAATGTTAATGTAAAGTAGTGAAAATATATAATGAATACTGACAAGGGATCCAGAAGTTAAGACACTTCCCAAAGCAACTATTGCAAATTAAGCTACAACACCCAATTAGAAAAATTTTCAACATACAAATATGCCATAAAAAGACACACATCATATCAATCATCATGACATGTGATTTTGTTCTTTATTGAATTACCAGGCATGTTAAAATAAGCTACCGCAACTAAATAAGACAAGGTGATGCTATTATGTCATGTATTCAACATTACTAGCATGATATTATATGCCAATTATAAATAATATCATTATCAAGATTGAAACAATTTTAGGCACATGACTGATCAATATAATTCCTTTGCTTATTTGTTCACTATCAACTCTTAAGGGGCTGACTTGCCTTTAGACTAGAATTAGTAAAATTATGAGTGTGAGGAATTTAATATTTTTAACCCCTTTTAATACGTTTTTTACTAAATAATTAACAAAAAATAAAACGGAACTATCAACAGGAAAGTAAAATACCCAAATACGGAGAAAAATGACATAGGCCTACTTTTATTATTGGACATAAGCATACTTTTATCACTGTTACAAAGATAAATAAAAAATCCTTTCTTTTTTTTTTTTTTGTTGAAAATGAATTTTGTGTCAATTCTTTGATTGAATAAGGTCTACCCACTTCAAAGATTACATGGTGCCTTACTGTGTCATGCCCTTACGTTGGGAAGAATCTAAAACACATATGCACTTCACTTTAATTCTCCAGGAAGTTGGCTTAGCATAGATTTAATATTGTTCAAAATTAATCATGGCCTCATCAATAGACAATAGTCAGTTCTTTACCCTGGAAAGTAGTGCTGTTGGCTTATTTTTATAATCAGATACTAAAGCCTAAAGCGGTGTTTGGCAAATAGCTAGCCACATGCAGTTCTTTAGCGACCTATAATAATATCTACACAAGTGTTTTAAACCTTTTTCAGGTCAATGCCCCCTTGGGACAATAAACTGAGCCTGAGCGCCCCTCTGTCAAACCCCATGAGCATTCCCAGACTATAAGTTTCCACACCCTCTATGGAAGAATTTTACATAATCAAATATTAAAGTTGCATATATAGTGCAAATTTTTTTCAAAATACAAATGAGACTTTATACTTTTATTAATTATATAATAAGCTGGTTAACTGGATCAACCTATACTTACATTTTTTTTAAAAGAAGGATAATTATTAAGCAAGATTTTAGGTATCTAATGTTTTCAGCGGTCAATTATTCTTAATGTGATAGATTAATGGGCTTAATTCATTAAAGTTTTTCATGATCAGGCTTTTAATCTCTTGGCAGAAACTTCATGGTCTGTATTCATATTGCCATGCTATTTCTTTGCTTTGACTTTGAGATTAGCTGGATGGCTGCAATAAAACTTATTCACTGCTTTAATGATGGTCACTGTGTTTTTTTAGCAAACAAGTTGTTGGGGATGAACAATATACCGGTACAGATTAACAAAGACATCTGACCAAAAGCAACAACTAACTGTTGCGGCCAGTCATTAATAGTGCTCCATAGTTTGTTATAGTTTTATAATGAAATTTGACCCTTCCCCAACACACACACCTTTTTTAGTCTTTCCGAGTATGCTGTTAGTCTATTCATCCAAATGTCATATTTTAAAGAATGTACAACAGGGATAAAAAAAGATCTGTTGTCTGGAAAGTCAATTCATCTTTTTGTAATGCTAGCTCTGTTGATTTGGTATGCTATACATTTAATCTTACATACTATCAGCCTTGTATCCATGGAATCAGAACATAACTAATAGTAGTAATAGTTGGTAAGATGAGTTCTAACCGATTGCTGGTGATTTTCTCAGATTTTAGCATTCAATCATAGAATGCTTTAACTTATAATAAACAAGGCAACACACACAAGCTATTAGTCGTTTGATTGGAAAATTTGAAAAAACATACTTGACAGTCTTGTTTCATTTGTAAAGTCTAGTTGATACTATTAACTCTTTGGCTCCCGAGAGTGTTTCCACAGTTTTACGATGCACTTTCAGAACATAAAAAAAGTTCACTGTTTAACTTAAATCTAAATCTTGAGATTAATATAGTAGATAGAAGCCAATGGAAAGGAAATCGAATGTACTATTCAATAAAATGACTGATGTCAATTTTGACTAGTCCATTTTGACTATTAAAAAAAACAACATTTGTTGACCATAGCACAGACAAAAATAGATTTGAAAGAAATAAGTGCCAAATATCAAATTACTTTACTTTTATTTTAAAAATTTGTCAACCAATTTAACAAAATAATTTTTACTCAGACAGCATATTCATTACCAGTAAATAATAAATCTTCAAATTTTCTTCAAGCTTGATTTTAAAAAAATGACATAAACGCACATTTTACCACATTATGAACCGGCGCAAAAATTTTCAGTAAATTTTAAATAGGTACACAATTAAACCATATTCTCATATTTCGGATCTTTATTATTATTATTAGTGGTCTTATATAGCGCGGTACCCCAGACTAGGGCTGGGCTCCCTGCACTGTAAATAATTTTTGTAGCAAACATAATCATGACATTAAAATACCTATTGCATTGGAATAGCATACATTTATTTAATACTAAACAGCTGTATATCAAGAAAACAAAAGTATATTCACAACACCCACCTCAGGACCTTTACATGTCACGCCATGGGCGGCAGCTAGCAGCATCGTTTAATCAGTCGGGGAAGTAGAGTTTAAAGAGATGTGTTTTGAGTGCAGTTTTGAAGGCCTGGGTGGTGTATATTGCGGATGTTTAGTGGGAAAGAATTCCATTATTTAGGGGCGCAGAAAGATCATTCACATGTTTTAGTGCGTGTCTTAGGGAACGGACAGAATACATTAATATAAATAATAGACCTGAAGTGTTCCCTATCATTTATAATATAGTTTTCATAAATGTTTTAAGACTTGTTACTAAGAAATATTATATTAAAAAAAATTTTCATTGAATAATTTATTTTAAAATTCAAAATTGCGAGTAAATATTATTGAAAATCTGCAAAACCTCACCAGTACCAGTTGATAATTTATCAATTTTCAAATATTACTACCGGTACTAGTACTGTTAGACTGATACTGATAATAAATTGTATAAACTATAAAATATCCAAAGGTTTATAAAAATTGGTTGAAATATAAAATATAGCCCGCTTTCATGTAAAACATGCCACAGGATAAAAAAATCAGAGCAAAATTACAACAAATACAACCTAATAATATTCACATCAATCTTTGCAATGGTTTTAAAATAAAAGATCTTGATGCCAGTAAAGAATCAAAATCATTATCAGGATGACAGGTTGTATAATCTCTAAAGATGCTCATCCAGACATGATCATAGTCTGTTCCCCATATAGCCCATGGTCCATCAATTAGATGTTTTAATATTAATATATCCACCTGACTTTGAATCTAACTGCTATGTTATCAATTGTCTATAAACATCTATACCAGTTAGTCATAGTTGATAATCCCCTGAATCGGTTTAACTGGTTCTAAGTAATAGGGCTCTATTTTTGGCTCTCTCGTTGACAACCGAATATATTCAGTATTGACTACTTTTGATTTTATAATATCTAGAGGCCCTATTTGCAACACATTTGATTATTTAGTCTAACAGCCAGCTTTGGGTGGGCCCATGGTGATTTGAATGGTTATGAATTTTGTAATCCTTTCTGATTACACACTTGAAATTTCAAAAAACTTAGTGATTTCTTTAAGTCCAGAAGTGTTCCTTTGCACAGTGATATAATATCCAATATGAAATGTCATCTGTTAATGAGGATAAGATAATATGTCTTTGAGTTACTGTAGATGTGACTTTGTTGAATCAAAAATTATCTGCTGTTAAGTCCACTTCTCACCATGGTTTAGGTAACAGAGACTTGTTATAAACAGATGCTTATAAAGTTTCAGTTGTTTGAAAGTGGATGACATTAGTACTATTGCTACTGGTAATGGTATCAGTAAACAGTTCAAGTTCAGTAGTTTTATCAAAATTGTATGAATAACCATCTGGTTCTTGCAGTAAATGAGTTCCACCTTTAGTTCAGGGCTGACATGGATCAAAGATGTAGAGAAGAACTTACACCAGCTTGGGGTTCGCACATGGATGTGGAAAGCCATGGATTGATCTGAATGGAAGAATGTGGTGGAGTAAAATACATGGGCTGTAGACTGTAGAGTCACTGATGAAGATGATTTAGTTCAGGGCAATGCCCCTTTTCTTGACACCCCTGACAATACATTTGATACACCAACTTTCAACATGTGGTTGTCGACATTTTTCGTACTCAGATGCCGGAGATTCAAAATTAATATTTGTTTTATCATAATCATACTTCTGTATTTGAATTAATTCTAGAGCTTTACTAGCAGTTAATATCTAATACTATTACGGTTCTCTTTACTTAGTAATAGAGAAGAGGCACTTCATGAGCTGCTTGGGCTTGGTTCAATTATAGTTATAGTATAGTATTAGTAAGAAATGAAGCAAAATGGCTCATCGAGGTGAAGCCAAACTCATAGACTGCTTTGACAGAAATGTGGAAAATCGGCTAGCCAGTTCAATTGTGCCACACGAGTCAATTGTTGTCAGTACTTTCAATGTAATTTTTTGGTGTTATTGTTTACCAAATCACATTTCCCAATTAATTCTCCATCATTACGCAACAGCCTACGTCTTTACGTCCTGTCTTTTTTAAATTAACTTTAGAATAATAATTGGAGGGCAGAAGGGTTGGTATTGTGTGAATTACTAGTTTATTCTTTAAAGGTCAGCAGGTATTTTTTTCTTCAAATCTTTAACTTTAGGTAGCCCAACTAATGATGATATTGATATATAATCTAGTGACCTCGTACAGTGTACGAAAGTACCGCTCCAAAGTTTCGTATTGCATCAAACGTTGTTGTTGTTGTCATTTAAGTACGAAAATGTCCATGCTTACAGCTCTATGACTTCTAGAGCTGTACTTAAGATTTTGTGTTTACGAATTTAAGACTATTAAGTTCTACATCTTCATATACAACAAGTTTAGGCTTGAAACACTCTATTTAAAAAAAACTGCTGTCAATGACTTACCATAGTGATTTTTAATTTTTTTTTTTTTTTGTTGAAGTTATCAAATTTGTTGTGTCGGCTACAAAATGGCTGTCAGTTAACTGTAAAGTCTCATCCTTTCTCGTATTATTTCTCGAGAGCTAAAGACTAAAGAGAAGGAACTTTTAAAGTAAATAAAGTAATGTTGTAGGTTTATCTCCCTTGAGCGAAATTAAAAAAAAAAAAAAATAAAAACGTGATCCGTGATCGAGAATTCATCCACGATTTTTTAAAAACCAATTCACGTATTTTTATTTATTGTTTCTATGAACAAATAAATACATATTATGCATCTGTCATTTTGCACCTTAAACCGTTATTAGCAAAGTTTGGGCTTAGGGTTGAATTAATCTTATGCATAGACTTGTCCAAAAATGACGTCACGCAACACATTGATCCATTTTTAGACAACGCATACGCCCCCTCCAACCTAAAAAACCCCCCGCAAATTACACCCCCCACCCCGCCCAAAAAAAAAAATTCGCGTATTAGTGAATATATGATGAATCTAAATCACCTTAAAATTTTGTTAAAGATTCCCCCCCCCCCGCTTTTTCCCCCACAGTGCCCACACACAGTCAAACTAAGCATGCCTTTGATTTTTATAACAATTGTTTATTGATGCTCCCCCCCCCCACTCATGTACAGATCAACAAATACAAATAATTATGTTTGTTAATAATCTGTTAAGGGCTACTTATTGTTCATGTTTATTTTCATATCTTTAGCTTTAAAGATTTTGAGGAAATTAAAACACATCACAATTAAAAGTATTGCCTTTTATTTTGCTTCAGTTGATAAATTAATAGGGCATCTCACTATATTATCACATTGTCAGAGTTCTCACTAAACTATCGCATTGTTCTCACTATACTATCACATTGTCAGAGTTCTGACTAAACAATCACATTTTCTCACTATACTGTCACATTGTTAGAGCTCTAACTAAACTATAACATTGTTATATTTCTCACTATACTATAGTATCACATTGCTAGAGTTCTCACTAAACCATCACATTGTTAGAGTTACAGTGATTATTTCAGAAATTTCCCCCACGGCCGGGGGGGGGGGGGGCACTTCAGATTTTTCCGGGAGGGGGGGGCAGTGCCAGCAGTACCAGTTGATTTATTGTTGGACATATTTTTGCTCCGGGAGGGGGGGGCGGCACTTGGCTTTCCCCGTGGGGGCAATGCCCCCCCCCCCCGGGTGATATAGCTGAAAGAAACCCTGCTCACTTAACCATCAAACAATTAGAGTTCTCACTAAACTATCACATTGCTAGAGTTCTCACTAAACAATCACATGGTTTGAGTTCTCACCAAACTATCACATGGTTAGAGCTCTAACCAAACTATCACATTTTTTAGAGTTCTCACCCGTCACATCACTACTTGTTGCAGTTTTCTAAACAAAATTATGCTATATAAATACTCCAAAGTATTGCAAAACCTTATACAGACTCAGTAAAAGTTCAAGTCCTAACAAGTTTGCCATATCTTCTGTAGAAGGCTCTCCGTCGAAATTTTCTTTTTATTGTCTTGTATTTATATTTCAAGCGTCCACATAATTTTGTTCTACTATTTCCTTCAACCAGCCTCTCTTCCTCCATATTTCACCCGTCCTGCTGTGATGAGGTCTTCTGCAGGCTTAGTCGTTTTTCATAGAATTGACTACTCCTGGAGTTTCTGCCAAAGTTGGTAAGTTTATTAAAAGGTCTGGTCCTCCATGTGGTGGTTGATGATCCTTATCTTTTCTATTGTCTACATTTAGGATGCCTTCGAAATATTCAGCCCATCTCTCTAGTACTTAATTTAACTATTTGACGTAATTAGTTTTTAGTCCTATAACTGCAACAATGCTGAAGTTTGTGGGGATATATATTTCGTAATTTTTTATAACGTTTTTGGAATAGCTTATTTAATTTTTTAAAAATTAAAAACTTATGAATGGAAATATTCAAAATGATGGCAGGTAATTCAATATTTCAAAATCACGTCATTCGTTCATTTATAATTTAGCTTAATTTTTAAAAATATTTGTAAACATGATGGCCACTTCCGTCAAAAGATGACTGATGTTTATTGGAACAGTCTGTAGTTCAACAGTCTACAGTTAACAGTCTACAGTTTAACATTCAACAGTTTAACATTATAAATTTTAACAATCGACAATTTATCAGTCTGTAGTTTTAACTGTCTACAGTTTAACATTTTGCAGTTTTACAGTTTAATCGTCTGTAGTTTAACAGGCTATAGTTTAACAGTCTACAATTTTATAGTCTAACATGCACAAGTCTACAGTTTAACACTCTACAGTTCAACAGTCTGTAGTTAAACATCTGTAACTCAATATTCTGTAGTTTAACAGTCTGTAGTTTAACATTCCGCAGCTTAACTGTCTACAATTTAACAGTCTGTAGTTTAACAGTACAGTTTAACATTCTGTAGTTTAACAGGCTACAGTTCAACCGTCTGCAGTTTAAAAGTCTACAGTTGAACAGTTTACAGTTTAGAAGTCTACAGGTTAACAGTCTACAGTTTAAATGTATACAGTTGATCAGTCTGGCATTTAACTGTCAGCAGTCTGCCTTTCTATTTCAAAATTCTTAAACAAAAATTTTAAAAATAATTTTTAGTTGGGTTTAAGGCTGAAAATTTGACAAAATTCGAGTCTTGCACTTTCTAAGACTCCCAATTAGTGCCCTCCCCCTGACTTGCAACCGCACAGTTTTTAACGCCCCTGAACTCAATATATAATATTGTAATGAACCAACCGCTTTTACACCGTATATTTGTTTCACCATGTATTTCAGAAAAAAAAAGAAACTATTACGACACGTACGAAACGAACTTGCGATTTTTTTAAAAATATTTAAGAATATCATTTATCGCAGTAATCGGGAATTTGTTTACGTGAAATGATAATTACTTTATCTTCCCCTAGAAGAACAGGAAAAACTGATTTTTTGCGAGTTGGGGTTGGGGGGTGGGGTTGCAATGCAAATTTGATGAAATGTGTTGTCATTGACAACGAGCCTTATGCCAAGTTTCAGCTCGATAGGTTGACCAGAAGTGGGTCAATTGGCCGTCTGAAGATTTTCCAAGCCAGCGAGCCACGAACAAATGTGAGGTTAATATAAAAGATATGGACGTGGTTTAAATCGTCTGATGTAAACATATCCCAATGTTGAAATACTGGCAATATTTTTATCACTAAATAATAAATAGAGTTAAACGGGCTTTTCTTTTTTTTTTTGTTTTTAATAAAAAAAGAAGAATGATTAAATAGCGAAAGTATTTAAAAAAGTCACCAAATAAAATGCCACTAGATCAATGAATTTTTAAAGTATTTCCGAAATGTTTATACGGAGGTGAAAGGTCACATCGTGAGTTGGCGTGATTGAATGGACCTGTGTGTCAGTGAACCTGAAAGTGATGTAATACGCAACCAATTCTGCCATGAACTCCTCTTAAATATTATTGCCATCTGCTTTATTTATTAGCCATTTACTTCTGGACACATTCCCGTCTGTTTTTTTTTTGTTGTTGTTGTTGTTGTTTTTTGTATCACTGAAGTGAGGACAGGTAACTTTTTATAATACTCTGATTAAAATCGTGTGTGGGGGAAAGAGAGGACAGGTGACCTTTTATAATACTCTGATTAAAATCGTGTGTGGGGGAAAGAGAGGACAGGTAACTTTTTATAATACTCTGATTAAAATCGTGTGTGGGGGAAAAAGAGGACAGGTGACCTTTTATAATGCTCTGATTAAAATCGTGTGTAAGGGAAAGAGAGGACAGGTGACCTTTTATAATGCTCTGATAAAAATCGTGTGTGGGGGAAAGAGAGGACAGGTAACCTTTTATAATGCTCTGATTAAAATCGTGTGTGGGGGAAAGAGAGGACAGGTGACCTTTTATAATGCTCTGATTAAAATCGTGTGTAAGGGAAAGAGAGGACAGGTGACCTTTTATAATCCTCTGATTAAAATCGTGTGTAAGGGAAAGAGAGGACAGGTAACCTTTTATAATACTCTGATTAAAATCGTGTGTGGGGGAAAGAGAGGACAGGTGACCTTTTATAATACTCTGATTAAAATCGTGTGTGGGGGAAAGAGAGGACAGGTGACCTTTTATAATCCTCTGATTAAAATCGTGTGTAAGGGAAAGAGAGGACAGGTAACCTTTTATAATACTCTGATTAAAATCGTGTATGGGGGAAAGAGAGGACAGGTAACCTTTTATAATACTCTGATTAAAATCGTGTGTGGGGGAAAGAGAGGACAGGTAACCTTTTATAATCCTCTGATTAAAATCGTGTGTAAGGGAAAGAGAGGACAGGTAACCTTTTATAATACTCTGATTAAAATCGTGTATGGGGGAAAGAGAGGACAGGTAACCTTTTATAATACTCTGATTAAAATCGTGTGTGGGGGAAAGAGAGGACAGGTAACCTTTTATAATACTCTGATTAAAATCGTGTGTAAGGGAAAGAGAGGACAGGTAACCTTTTATAATACTCTGATTAAAATCGTGTGTGGGGGAAAGAGAGGACAGGTAACCTTTTATAATGCTCTGATTAAAATCGTGTATGGGGGAAAGAGAGGACAGGTAACCTTTTATAATACTCTGATTAAAATCGTGTATGGGGGAAAGAGAGGACAGGTAACCTTTTATAATACTCTCTTTGAAATGGTGTGTGTGTGGGGGGGGGCGATCTGAGAAATGACATTTTGATATTTGAAGTTGCCCGTCCACCCCAATAGAAGTGACATAATCTATACAAAAGGCATCTTTTCAAAATGTCAAGCTGCTGAGCTGGTCAGGTGTAGACCCTCAGCACGTC